TTTTTTAGATTCCCACAAACTTCATCCAACTTTCTTGGTTTTAGAAACCATTGGCCGTTGTTCTAGAAATCATTTGACTAGGGTGGCCTAGGATTGCTACCTAAGGTTGAAATTACATTATTAGCATTACTCTGTGACCAATACAAAAATTATAGCAGGTATACCAGTTGTGATGAAAGAAATGCCTTTTCTACTTCTTTGAATGTCTTGATTGTAGAGAACCAAATAGGTTTTTACTTTGTTCAAGTTGAAGATGGTAGAAAGATAAGAGAGAGGTCTAAATACTAAAGGAATGTGGATCAAAGTTGTGAGCGCCATGATGATCTAAGGTCCAACACATGTTATGGCCTTAGAACAAAATAATCAGAGGAAGGAGAAGAATGATTCGTATTCTTGATACTTGAATAGCTTGTTAAGTTGTGTTAAGATATGTAAATTTGAAAATAATAAGCTAACTGTTGTCCTTAAAAAAATCAAAAATAATATGTCTTGTGTTGTATTACTATTATAATGATTATTAAAAATTAGAAAAACTATCATACTGCGCTAATGAGCTCTAAATGCAAACTTATTTGGAGTTTTGGGGATGATGAGTACTCACATGATTCTAAAGGTACTTGACAGGCTAGGTTGTAATCTAGATTATTAACATTTAGCTGGTCTTGTGGTTTGTCTGGCTACTCCATACTTTCCCTTGTAGTCTTACTCAAACTACTTTTTATCAAGAGCAATGACAAGAATTTTTAGTCATCTAGTCAAGGTGCACATATGATGGGGAAAGCATCGTTTCAGTGGAAGTTGTTGGAACTTTATTTTTTATTCCACTCAAGTTCTTCAAAGATACAAATAGGATTTGGGTTTTGACAGTGATTTAAGGGTTTTTTTTTTTATTTTAAAAAAATAAATAAATTTAGGAAGTGATTATGGTTGTGGTGGTGATGGTGGCGATTGAGATTTAGTGTTGGTGAGGTGGTGATGATGGTCGCCATTGCATGTGCCCTTGATGGCTGTCTTCGATGGGCTCAGAAGAAAAGGGTAGAGAGAGAAATGGGAGGAAGGGGAATATTCGGGTCCGGATGAGGAGGTCAAAGTCTGTAACAAGGAGGAGAGGGTTGAAGCCTTTGATCCGAACCTAAATTGGCTATTCCATGAAGATGAGGTATCGTTTTCTTCTTGTATGCACACTGTGAGGACTGAGGGTGAGGAAGTCTTTGATTCTGGGAAAAAGGTATGTGACTCTTTTGACAAAGATAACATGAACTCTTCACTTCCTAATCATCTTCAGTGCATTCAATCTGAATCAGTTTCTGGGGGAGTCACTCTTGGGTCCTTTTTTCACATCCTAGCAGAGTGGTAAAGGTACTTGACAGGTTAGGTTGTAATCTAGATTATTAACATTTAGCTGGTCTTGTGGTTTGTCTGGCTACTCCATACTTTCCCTTGTAGTCTCACTCAAACTGCTTTTTATCAAGAGCAATGACAAGAATTTTTAGTCATCTAGTCAAGGTGCACATATGATGGGGAAAGCATCGTTTCAGTGGAAGTTGTTGGAACTTTATTTTTTATTCCACTCAAGTTCTTCAAAGATACAAATAGGATTTGGGTTTTGACAGTGATTTAAGGGTTTTTTTTTTTATTTTAAAAAAATAAATAAATTTAGGAAGTGATTATGGTTGTGGTGGTGATGGTGGCGATTGAGATTTAGTGTTGGTGAGGTGGTGATGATGGTCGCCATTGCATGTGCCCTTGATGGCTATCTTCAATGGGTTCAGAAGAAGAGGGTAGAGAGAGAAATGGAAGGAAGGGGAATCTTCGGGTCTGGATGAGAAGGTCGAAGTTTGTAACAAGGGAGGAGAGGGTTGAAGCCTTTGATCCGAACCTAAATTGGCTATTCCATGAAGATGAGGTATCGTTTTCTTCTTGTATGCACACTGTGAGGACTGAGGGTGAGGAAGTCTTTGATTCTAGGAAAAAGGTATGTGACTCTTTTGACAAAGATAACATGAACTCTTCACTTCCTAATCATCTTCAATGCATTCAATCTGAATCAGTTTCTGGGGGGAGTCACTCTTGGGTCCTTTTTTCTCAAATCCTAGCAAAGTGGTTTCTACCAAGAATGACAATTTGCCTCAGTTAGCTGCTAGTAGGTCCTCTACAAGTGATAGTTTGAACCCACATGCAATTAACAAGGAGAGTCACAAGGATGATCTTTCGATGGAAATGTCTACTAATCATAAGCTTGAGAGGAACGATGTTCTTGGGAATGACAATGATGAATCTAAAAAGTGGTTGAGGAAAATGATTATGTGTCTTTCCCCTTGGAGAAGGGAGATGTGCCTCACTTTACACAATTACTTGACACTCTTGGTTTGTCACTAGTTAGGAAGAATATGAAGAAGTCTAGGTCTAGGAGTGTGGGGTTTGCATCTAAGGGCGGTAGTAGTCATAGAAGCTTGGGGCAGAGAAAAGGGATGAAGGAATTAAGAAACCTTGAAAGTGGCATTAATTATGAGGGGCTGGTGAAAAAGACAATGGGTGATGTTGGTTCTCGATGAAGATTTTGAGTTGGAATGTTAGAGGACTACGGTTTTGTAGGAAAAAGATGGTAATTAAAGAGGTTTTGAAAACTAGATAGAGTGATGTTTCAAGAGACAAAGTGAGGAATGTGATAGAGGTTTCACTAGGAATGTTTAGGGGACTAGGTTTAGGAGATGGACTGTTTTACCTTCTAGCGGGAGATCAGGGGAAATTTTGATTATATGGGATGAGAGAGTTGTATCAGAGTGTGAAATAGTTGTTGGGGTGTTTTCATTGTCCATTAGGTTTAGGAATCAGGATAACAAGGAATGGTGGTTGACGGGGGTTTATGGTCCCAATGGGCCTAGTAGTCGTCAGGAATGGTGGGAGGAGTTGGCGGGATTATTTGGGCTTTGTTTCCCTAATTGGTGTGTGAGCAGAGATTTCAACGTGGTTCGGCTTATTTCGGAAAAACTCAATGGGGTTTCCACAAATACGAGTTGCGGGATTTCGACTTTTTTATAAAGGGGTGTGAGTTGCTTGACCTTCCCTTAAGTAATGCTCAGTTTACTTGGTCTAATCTTCAGTAAAATCTTGTGTGTTGTAGGTTGGATAGGTTGCTTCGTACTCTAGGGTGGGAGGAGTTGCTTCTAGATATAAGGCAAGAGGTAGAGCCAAGAATTGTGTCAGACCATTGCCCGGTGATTCTTAAGAGCTGTCTTTTTAAATGGGGTCCTACCCTCTTTAGATTTGAGAATACGTGGTTGGAAAATCGATATTTTAAGGAGAATTTTAAGGATTGGTAGGAAAGCAGTAAAGTCTATTTGGTGGGAGGGTTTTAAGTTTATGTGAAAGCTGAGAGGAGTCCAGAATAATTTAAAGGTTTGAAAGCGTAAAGTTTTTGGTTATCTAAATGAGGTGAAAGCTGAGTTAGCTCAGGATATTGAGAAATTAGATGCGAAGGAATTTAGGGAGGGTTTATCTGGGGCTTTAAGGGATAAGAGATCATTGCTTAGGATGAAGTTGGGAGAGCTTGTTTTTAGGGAGCATATTTTTTGGGGACAAAGGGCTAAGTTGAAATAGGCTAAAGAGGGTGATACCAATTTTAGATTTTTTCATAGGGTTGCATTGGGAAAGAGGATGAAGAATTTTCTGAATCAGTTTCTGGGGGAGAGTCACTCTTGGGTCCTTTTTTCTCACATCCTAGCAGAGTGGTTTCTACCAAGAATGACAATTTGCCTTAGTTAGCTGCTAGTAGGTCCTTTACGAGTCATAGTTTGAAACCACATGCAATTAACAAGGAAAGTCATAGGGATGATCTTTCGATGGAAATGTCTACTAATCATAGGCTTGAGAGGAACGATGTTCTTGGGAATAACAATGATGAATCTAAAAAGTGGTTGAGGAAAATGATTATGTGTCTTTTCCCTTGGAGAAGGGAGATGTGCCTCACTTTACACAATTACTTGACACTCTTGGTTTGTCACTAGTTAGGAAGAATGTGAAGAAGTCTAGGTCTAGGAGTGTCGGGTTTGCATCTAAGGGCGGTAGTAGTCATAGAAGCTTGGGGCAGAGAAAAGGGATGAAGGAATTAAGAAACCTTGAAAGTGGCATTAATTATGAGGGGCCGGTGAAAAAGACAATGGGTGATGTTGGTTCTCGATGAAGATTTTGAGTTGGAATGTTAGAGGACTACAGTTTTGTAGGAAAAAGATGGTAATTAAAGAGGTTTTGAAAATTCATCAACTAGATAGAGTGATGTTTCAAGAGACAAAGTGAGGAATATGATAGAGGTTTCATTAGGAATGTTTAGGGGACTAGGTTTAGGAGATGGACTGTTTTACCTCCTAGCGAGAGATCAGGGGAAATTTTGATTATATGGGATGAGAGAGTTGTATCAGAGTGTGAAATAGTTATTGGGGTGTTTTCATTGTCCATTAGGTTTAGGAATCGGGATAACAAGGAATGGTGGTTGACAGGGGGTTTATGGTCCCAATGGGCCTAGTAGTTGTCAGGAATGGTGGGAGGAGTTGGCGGGATTATTTAGGCTTTGTTCCCTTAATTGGTGTGTGAGCAGAGATTTCAATGTGGTTCGGCTTATTTCGGAAAAACTCAATGGGGTTTCCACAAATACGAGTTGTGGGATTTTAACTTTTTTATAAAAGGGTGTGAGTTGCTTGACCCTCCCTTGAGTAATGCTCAGTTTACTTGGTTTAATTTTCAGTAAAATCTTGTGTGTTGTAGGTTGGATAGGTTGCTTCATACTCTAGGGTGGGAGGAGTTGCTTCTAGATATAAGGCAAGAGGCAGAGCCAAGAATTGTGTCAGACCATTGCCCGGTGAAACTTGAGAGCTGTCCTTTTAAATGGGGTCCTACCCTCTTTAGATTTGAGAATACGTGGTTGGAAAATCGATATTTTAAGGAGAATTTTAAGGATTGGTAGGAAAGCAGTAAAGTCCATTTGGTGGGAGGGTTTTAAGTTTATGAGAAAGCTGAGAAGAGTCCAGGATAATTTAAAGGTTTGGAAGCGTAAAGTTTTTGATGATCTAAATGAGGTGAAAGCAGAGTTAGTTCAAGATATTGAGAAATTGGATGCGAAGGAATTTAGGGAGGGTTTATCTGGGGCTTTAAGGGATAAGAGATCATTGCTTAGGATGAAGCTGGAAGAGCTTGTTTTTAGGGAGCATATTTTTTGGGGACAAAGGGCTAAGTTGAAATGGGCTAAAGAGGGTGATACCAATTTTAGATTTTTTCATAGGGTTGCGTTGGGAAAGAGGATGAAGAATTTTATTAAAAATTTGGAGGTAGGGCAGGGTGTGGTGGTGAGTAAGGATGAGTTTATTGTAATGGAGATTTTCAATTTTTATTCAAATCTCTACTCTGATGGGGGAGTGGATTATCCAAGGATCGAAGGCATTAATTGGGCTTCTGTGGAGTCAACAATAGCCAATTGGCTTGAGAGACCCTTTGACAAATGTAAGGTGAGACATGCGGTGTTTGAGTGTGAGAAAGATAAGGCTCCAGGTCCAGATGATTTTTCAATGGCCGTATTTCATGATTGTTGGGACATTGTGAAAAAGGATCTTATGAGAGTGTTTGGTGAGTTCTTTGAAAGTGGGGAGGTCAACTTATGCACCAATGCGACCTTCATTTGTCTAATTCGTAAGAATGGAAAGTCGGTCAAGATTGGGGATTTTAGACCCATTGGCTTGGTTACATCACTCTACAAAATTCTAGCAAAGGTGCTTTTTGAGAGAATTTGGGTGGTCCTTGAGGAAACCATCTTTTCTGCACAAGGTGTGTTTGTGCAGGGACGACAAATATTAGATGTAATCTTAGTGGCAAATGAGGTTATTGAGGAGTATAGAGGGTTACATAAAGAGGGTGTTGTCTTTAAGGTTGACTTTGAGAAGGCGTATGACCATGTTGATTGGGACTTTATGGATTTTGTTTTGAAAATGAAGGGGTTTAGATCTAGATGAGAATGTGGATTTAGGGGGTGCTTGTCGTCTTGCAATATGTCGGTCATTGTGAATGAATGGTAAGGCTGGGGACTCTTTTTGGGCATCTAGGGGTCTAAGATAGGGTGATCATTTATCACCATTTTTGTTTATTTTAGTTGCTGATGTGTTGAGTCGAATAATTGATATAGCTTAGGGTAAGGGTGTTATTGAGGGATTTATAGTAGGGAGGGATAGGATTGGCGTCACTCATCTACAGTTTGCGGATGATACTACATTTTTTTCATCAAATGAGGAAAGTAAGGTGGGTAGTTTGTTAAAGATTTTGAGAATTTTTGAAATTGTGTCGGGCCTCACGGTCAATCTTAACAAGAGTAGTGTTGTGGGTATTAATTTGGAAGAAAGCTATGTGCAAAGGGTGGCGGATATGTTGGGATGTTCCATTGAATTATTTCCTCTCAAATACTTGGGGCTTCGATTGGGGGGAGATCCTAGAGTGGTGTCCTTTTGGAAGCCTGTTCTTGTCAAATTTGAGAAAAGATTTAAGGGATAAAAGCAAGCTTTGTCGTATGAGGGAGGGAGATATACTTTGGTACAATCTTTATTTAGGCTCTGTTCCTATTTATTTCTTGTTTATATTCAAGATTCCAGTTGGCATTGCGAGGAAAATTAAGAAATTGATGAGAGATTTTCTTTTGGAAAGGGTGTGAAGAGGGTAAAAGGGTTCATTTGATTAAGTGGGAGGTTGTTTCACTCCCTAGGGATAAAGGGGGTCTAGCTATAGGAACTATCATTGCTAGGAACATTGCTCTCTTGGCCAAGTGGTTGTAGAGATTTCCTATTGAAAGTGATTCACTATGGTGTTTAGTTGTTAAGAGCAATTATTTTGTTCAACCCAATGATACCGATTCTAACGTGGTTAATAGAGGCAATTGTCGTTTTCCGTGGAAGTCCATTTCTCGCTTGTATCCACTTGTGTCTAATTTCCTTTCATTGAGAGTGCGGAATGAGGTGAGCATCCATTTTTGGGAGGATGTGTGGGTAGGGGATATCTCGTTTGATAGAGTTTTTCCTCTTCTTTATCGGTTGGTTCGTTCTAGGAATGTTTCAATAGCGTCGGTGGCATGCTCTTCTATGGCTCCCACCTCTTGGAATTTTGATTTCGTTAGGAACTTAAATGATAGGGCGGCGGCTAAGTTGGCAACTTTGTTGATATTGCTTCATGGGGTATCTCTTTCTTCCTCTTGTGACATTAGGAGATGGAATCTTAGTTCTTGAGGGGTCTTTTCCGGTAAATCCTTTTTTGATAAGCTTATTGATAATCCCTCTATTCTTTTGTTTCCTATTCATTAGAAAATTTGAAAAGCGGTTGTTCTTCATAAAGTGAAGTTCTTCATGTGGTTTTTAGCTCAAAAAGGTGTCACAACTAATGATGTTCTCTAAAGAAGAGGGCCTAATCACTCTCTTTGCCCTCAATGGTGTGTGATGTGCAAGAGAGATTCAGAGGTAGCGGATTATGTTTTCCTTCATTGCCCAGTGGCTTTTGTATTATGACAGTGTCCTTTCGGCTTATTTGATGATCAGTGGGTTGCTTTGCGGGATTGCATTCAAATGCTTCTTTTTAGGTTCAAAGGGTTTTGGGGCACCAAAAGAGCCGAAACATTGTGGTTAAGCATTGTTTTTGCGATTTTCTGGACTATATGGTTGGAGAGAAATGCAAGACTCTTTGATGGCAAGGAATTAAACGTAGAGGCTTTGTGGGATATGGTGGTACACTTGGCTTCGTTTTGGGCATTTGTATTACCTCTTTTTAAAGGAGTTCCATTGTTCTTGATCTCTAGGGATTAGACTGTTGTTTGTCATCCCTAGAGCTAGGAGTTTTGTGCTTTTGTGGGTGTTTGGGAAGTTGTTATTTTAGTAAGCTAAAATTTTTAAAAAAAAAAAAAAAAAAAAAAAGAAATGGGAGGAAGGGAAAGACATTGTTTAGTTGGAGGAAAAATAATGAAATTACTTTTGTACATTAGTTGTTTAACTGGCCACTTAAAAAAAAAAATTATTTGGTTAAAAATCTTCTACAATCTAAAATCTCAAATGAGAGTGATTAAGTGAAATCACAGATTCTGTTACCACCGTTTTGAAGTGTGATTACTGCTGCCTCCTATGTTTTCATATGTGCTCGTGATTATATATTACATAATTTGGACTGATGTAAGATTTTTTTGGGCATTAACAATAAAATTATATAGAACTTCCTAATGTATTGAAACATTTTCTTCTTTTTCTCTTATTTTACTTTATTCCCTTAATAACTTTAGCGAAACCAGTGATGAACTGCCATTCGCCTTCAACAAGATGCATGAATTCTACTCTGCCAGATGCAGAAGCTGAAGAATTGCCTGTGTCAAGTCAGATTGATGATGAGCTACAACAAGAACTCCCAGTTGATGAAAGTGCGTCGAATCATCAATTAGTTTCGTTTTCAGAGAACTATGATGAATTTACGGCTGAGAGAGAAGCAAAACTTGAGGAGTGGTTGGGAGGGACCGATGAAGAGGATGGTCGTCGCTTGGAGGAACTGGTGCAGGAGTTCAGCTCACCGACTCTTTGAATGCTGCATAAGGTTTTTTGTGAATTATATTTTGTTGTATAATTATTATCATGCTTGGGCATCACAACACACTAATAAGATCATGGTGCTAAAAGTAGTAGTAGTTAATCCATTGATGTTTCAGAGGGGAAAATTCCTTGTAAAATTCTTGAAATGCTTTTCTGGCAGGATTGTTGAAGCAGAACTCTTCTTTTTTCCTCTAAATGATCTTTATGCATTCCTTATATTGCATTTTGTTATGTTTGATTGTTACTCGTTAATAAAATGTAAGCTTCCTTCACAGCCTTAACAGCACAATTGAGTTGTATTGGTGGTGGCGGACCACTGGTGGAGGTGATTGTGTGGTGGCGGCATTGGTATAGTGTTGTGACATTGACAAAACTTTAGTCTGAAAACATTTTCACCTTCTAAAACTGAATTTTTTTTTGGGTCCAAATAAGCTTGTTTTTTTGTTGACCATTAAAAACATTTTCTATTTGATTTTCACCTTCCACTGCTTACCCACAGCTCTAAAACAATGTTTGAACACTATAAAACATGAAATCCAGCAATGCTAAACAAGGGAAATTATGGATGAACAAGCTTTACTGCATTTGAAATGAAACAGAAAGTGAAGCCAATCGTTTATAGAAAACATCAACACACGATATGAAAACTTGGCCCATATGAGACCCTCTGATAAAAACAAAAAAATGCCCACATACAGCATTCTTCAAGAATATGGTTTTGCTTTAATTCTGAGGCCTGAACCCCAAATTTTCTTCAATCACCACCACCAAAATACATTACCCCAGGATCTTTTTCCCATATTGTCAGCATGCACATCCATGGAGATCTTTCTGTTCAGCCACTAGCACCAGATACCAACAATCACCACCTTGACAGATCCTCACTTGAGAAGGCCAATGTGCCATTAAAACCCCATCAACAAGTAATATAACAACCTTACACCTCTTGTCTCGTCCAGAGCCCTCGTAGGGTTCGGCAATAACAGAACCCAATAGGTTGAGACAGCATGCAGTCAGTCTTTCCTCAGACATCTTGCATCAGGAAAATGGGCAACAGGTATGTAAAGGACATGCATTCCATCTACACAAGTAACTCCAACTTAAACAGGCTCTGTCATGAGGTAACAACGAAGATCCCAATCAAACTCTTGATCCATTGTTTGATGGACATTGCATTTGTTGATATTATGCACAAGCATACCTTCTAGTACTTGGTGACAGTGGTGATCCTGCAGAAGACCACAAACATGTTTATCATAAGTACAACCTTCATGGTGCAGGCATCAGAGACTCTGTCAGAAAATTTTCAAGATGGCCCCTGTTCAAAGATCTAGAGACATGAACACAAACCCATATATAGATCAGAACATGACATGGGCTTTGAAACTTGAAAGATATAAACAAACAAAATCTAAAATAAATTTGCATATATAAATAAGTATGGGAAACCTTTTTGTTAAAACAGTCACAACATAATTAACTTAGAAAGCTATAACCAGGGAAAGTACACGAATTTATGGGCCTCTCTAAACTTGTCTTATTACCCAATTTTACTTCTGGACTAAGGGGATTATTTTCCATGTCAGATAGAATAATACACAATTCTAGGCAGCTGTGTACAAATTAAATGGAGTGAGTCTCTGTTTTACAACTGCCCCCTTTCTAAGTAGCATTTTAAATATTTCAAATAGAAAGGTGTAGTTTTATTTGTACCGATTGTATGTTGGAAAATTAATAAAAAGGAATAATTTTGGTTGTTCTTATAGCACCTAAAGGATGAATATGTCTGCCAAAATGGAAAAACTAAACAAGGTGCAACTACCAACTTCCACCAGAAAGTAACAACCAATATTTAAAGACCACTCCTATTGGAAAAGTTTATGCTAAAAAGGTATAGGTTTTTCAACACACATAAATGTTTCAGAGAATGGAATATCTCCATTACAGTAATCTATACCACAAATTTAAATAAGATGAAATAAAATAAAACAAACATACACTCGTACACAAATACACATGTATGCACACAGAAGATACTCTATAAATATGAACGAGTAAACTTAACCTTGGGTACTCTTACATCACAATTTACTTGGTTAAAATCCCCCTAGTAAACCAGGACATGAAGAAGTAAATTTGCATTTGACTTTCATATGCACCAAATTGAATTGAGCATTTCAAGAAAATTTCAAATTACCTGACACAAAAAAGCTGGAATTGTGCTCAATCAAGTAACTAGTTGCAACGTTTTCTCTACAATTGTTCCTACATTTGTTCTGTCATTTTACCATTTGTCATATGTAAACTGGGAGGAGAAAGTGAGCCATGCAAACCACCCACAAGTGTGTTCACAGAAGGGGCAGAGCTACTGCTATTTCCAACTATTTTAGAGCCCAAGTTTTGATTTGGGGAAGAGAGAGACCCGATGCCATTCGCCACCACCATAGCTCCCCCACCTAATTTCGGATGAGTAGACTCATTGTTGAAGCGCATTACTTTAGCCTTCCTGAAATTAACCAATAGATGTTTTGAGATGAAGAAACATAATTGATATTAATTAAGATATTCATATCATACCTAACCAATTTTTGTTTTGAAGTAGCTGATTTTGGCTTGGATATCCCTTTTCAAAAGAAAATGTAAAATGTTAATTTCAAGTTTCATGAACTATACTTCACAATCTAGAACAAGAACCAAATCTTAAAATTTATTCAGTTAATCTCAAAGCACCTACCAGATTTAACAGTCAAAGATGTTGAAGCAGACTTGTGATTGGCCCTCTCGGCCTTAATAGAAGCAATAACTGAATCTGCAGTAGGCCCTAGACCTTTTCTCCCAATCAGTTTCACGCCAAGCCTCTCGGAAAGGTAGTTCAACCTCATCTCATCACCCCCTCGTACTTCCCTCAGCTCAAGCACCTGTTGTCTTGATAACAAAGTGTAAACATGAAACTCCTGCCGCTGATTAAAATGGGACTGAAGCTGCTGAAAAAGTAATTTATTAGAGTACGATTGATCTGTCTTTGGACCTTCATGATTTTTCTTTCGTGGGCCACTAAATGTCACCCTTAAAACTGCTGTAGATTGAGAATCTGCAGCATTGTTACCAAAAATTACAGAAAAACTCCCAAATTCCAAATCAGGTTCTCTGAATAAATCTGCAAGAAGGGAAGCACAAGAGTGTGCATTTTTTGATGGACTCTTTTCTACTTTTTGCTTCAAGGCTCTGACAGTAGCATAGTGAGCCATATTGGCAGCTTCTCTTAGCCCACTCAGAAAGGCACCATGCATAGTTGCAGGGTAGCGCCTAGTAGTTGCCTCCCCTGCAAAGAAAACTCTTCCATCTCCTACATTCTCTGCTAAGATATCATAGTCATCTCCTGATGCCCCAACTGCGACATTAGAGTAAGAACCTAAGCTGAAAGGATCAGTACCCCATCTGGTACAGACAGTTTGGATAGGCTCTGGGACATCAATTCCTTTTGGTTCATACACACCTGCAAGCATTGGACCCAGAATCTCAATGTACTAATGATCAATAAGTGATATTACCCGCAAATACTTCAAATCAAGGGAATAATTTTACCCCAACCATATTGAGAATTTAACCTCTTCAAAAAACAAACACAAACATAAATACATATATATATATAAAACAACTACGTTGAACTCAGTAATAAATTCAGGTTGAAAAAAGCAATGGAACTAAGCAAATCCATTGCCAAATAAATTATGTGGGCCCCGAGCACTGAAAAGTCATCTGGAATAGTTCCAAAGTTCACCATTAGGAACTATTAGCCATGTCAAATTTACAAGAGGATAATTTGTACATTATCCAATTATGCATCATTTATAGGCTCAATCCATTTAACAAAAAGTTCTCATAATATGCTAGTGAAAAAAGAAGAAGAAAGGTTTGAAACTCAAAGATTGAAATGAAGCATAAATAGACACACACACACACATATATATGTATACATATTCACACCTTTCAGAATTCGAAGAACCTGGGTCACAGCATCAGTGGGAGGCATGCTCTCAAAATTATGTGCAGCTTCTCCGGCTACTAAAGCAATCAGAAGAGGACCACCAGCTACAGTTGCATAGCTATAGAACAGAAAGAACTCCCCTCGACGGCTCGGATCATCAGTGAGGTGGCCAAAGGTATCAAGATCCGTGCCCCAGAACACGTGAGGAAAAAGCATTGCAACCTTGTTCAACAAGCCAAATCCCAACCTCTTTATCCCATCAAGCTTCCTTTGAGGCAACTCTGGAATAAACTTAATAGAACCACTCTTCAAAACCCCTAGTGAAACAGTGCACAGCACCATATCACCCTCAAATACCTGGTTCCCAACAACAACCTGCACTCCATCACTAGTATAACGGATGGTGTGCACAGTTTTCTCATATAAGATCGGTACATTCTCAGCCAAAGCATGAACCAACCTCCCATTCCCTCCAGGAAGGAAGCAATGATCCCCTCCCATATCATAAGGGTCATCTTGGTCCCAGAATGCAAGTGAAAGCTTTGACAGTAAACCTGCATTTGCATACTCCAAATTTGCAAGATGCCAATTAAATAAGTTCATCTCCTCTGTGTTTACAGCATCCCCATAAACCTGCCTAAATGTCTCCAATGCTGCCCCAAGAGAAACATCCTGTGAAACCTCCCCCATTAACTGCCTAAGCCGACTTGCCTTGTCCAAAAGACGGTTAAAAGCAGTTTCCACCTTTGAATCCATATCTGGGTCAACAGGTTTTCCATCCAAATTGTAGAGGGGGCACTTATCTCTCACCTTATGAAGAGGATAAGCCAATTGTCTAGCCAAAATTCCAAGCGGGTTCCCAAGTGTACCCGTCAACACACTCCCTCCTAAATCTGCTGAAGCAACCTTACTCCCTCCCTCCATTTTCATGGTATATACCCGTCCTCCTGCACGCTTTCGGCCCTCAAGAACAGTCACTTTAAACCCCAACCTCATTAGCTGCCGTGCAGCAGCCAAACCCGCCAATCCTGCCCCAATAATGATCACATTCGACTTGTTGGGTTCTGATGGAATCTTCTCCTTTATCGCCGGAGCAACCCCAAAATTAATATACCCATGTGAAACCAAATAATTATAAGCAGAATCCAAAAGTTTACTACAATGTGAAGGTATAACATCAACAAACATCTCCTTCGTGACCCAATGCGACACGTTCTCACGCCATCTTGTAATAATGTGGTTCCTAATAAGAATATAATTAACCTGTTCAATTCCACCAACAACAGACACAACCCCAGCATCTATTTCCTCATCGGTAAGGGTATCGGCCGGAAACCCAGAAGTAAGCGCAATCAAAGCCTCGGAAGTGGCTTCTTTGTTAATCACAATGATCTCGTCAGATACATCAGGGACAATTTGCGTCAAAAAATTAGGGTTTGCATAATTAACATTCGAAGAAACATAATTTTCCACATTAGGTTTGATAATCGGAACTGAAGAAGAAGGAATCGATAATTGCCCATTGCTAGGGTTAATTGCACTGTTTGGAAAGTATGGAATATGATGATATACCTGGTTCAGATTAGGAATCGAAGGCGTCGTATTGCGAGGCCTACCTCGTCTTCGCTTTCTTGGCACATATAATGGAAGAATGTGATTCCAATTAGGGTTGATAAACGCATTAGGATTCGAATTAGGGTTTGTATTATAGTTGGAGATTGAATTTGGATCGGGGTAAGGTGTGGGGATTGGGATCGAATTAGTGTTAAGGTTAGGGTTAGGGTTAGGGTTAGGGTAAGGAGGGGTGAATTGGGAGGGATTGAGAGGGTAAGGAGATAAGGAAGGAGTGTGTTGAGGAGGGGGTTGATTTGATGGGTTCATTTTTGGTCTTTCACTGATAATTACTGTGAAGAGGTTGGGTTCTGTAGATATGAATAGAGAAGAAGAGCATGGTTGATCTGTAGTGTTTGGTTGCCGAGAAAATTTAATACGAGGTATTTACTTCGCGTTCGCGCCTCAGTTGTGAAATTTCCTTGGCTTGTTTTTGGGGTTTATTTTTTTATTTTAAATTTTGAGTTCAACAAAGTATTTGAAAGTATTTTTAAAAAGAATTACCAAAAACAAAAATAATGACTTTTAAATATATTTTTTTAATTTTTTTAAATTGTCAATTTTAAGAAAACTTTAAAAAAATTGACTTAAATTTTTAAAAATATAAATAAAAATAAGTCAATATATATAAGTTGAAAAAAAAAAAAAAAGCTTGTTTGATCGGGGCTCAAATCAAATAGCAACACACATGCGAAAATGATAAATGTTGATGAATTTTTTTGAGATATTGTTAAACATTAGGATTTAAGTGAAAAATGTCTTAAATATAGAAGAAAAAGCTTTAAAAAATATTTTAATTTTAGTGAAAAGTGTAGTAAAATTTAATAAAATATATTTGGATTTTAATAAAAAAATGTCTTGTGTCCATTCGACTGGTTATATCCAAAAAACTAAAACTTGCTTTTTTTTGTTTTCTAAAAACACTTTTCAAAAAATTCTACTTTCTTATCTTTCGTATTTTTTGTTTTTATTGAATTTTTTTAATATTTTAAACATTTTTTTTAATTTTTAGACACACTTAACATAAATATACATAAAAGTATATTTTTTGTGAAAAATTCTTTTAAAAATTCACAAAATACCAAAAATAAAAATAAAAAATACGATAATTCAGTATATTTTTCATATTTTTATGTATTTATTAATTTTTTAAAATATTTTTTTACAAATTTTTTATTTTTTAAATACATTTAGTAAGGTGCATCTAAAAATGTAAAAAAATGCTTAAAATTTTGAAAATATTCACTAAAAATTAAAAATAAAAACAAAAAATAAAAAACTCAGTTTTCAAAAAATTTTATCCAAAAAACTCAAACCAATCACACACATTTTTATTCATAAATTTATATTTGAATATTTGATAATTTATACTCCATTCGTCCCAAAATATTAGTCTCTTATTCCATTTTTTATTGTCCCAAAATATTAGTCCATTTTCAAAAATCAAGGACTAAAATGAATTTTCAATTTTGCCCTTCTTTTAAATTCATTAACAACACAAAAAATATAATTATGACAATTGATATTCCAAAAAAAATATACTATCAAGGAATAATTTTGAAAAATTAATATTTTTAAAATGCAATAATTGTACTACCAAAAAAAGTTGAATTAAGCTTGAAAGTATTTGAAAGTATTTTTAAAAAGAATTACTAAAAACAAAAATAATGACTTTTAAATATATTTTTTTAATTTTTTTAAATTGTCTATTTTAAGAAAACTTTAAAAAAAATTGACTTAAATTTTTAAAAATATAAATAAATATAAGTCAATATATACAAGTTGCAAAAAAAACAAAAACCAAAAAAAAATGCTTATTTGATCGGGGCTCAAATCAAATAGCAACACACATGCGAAAATGATAAATGTTGATGAATTTTTTTGAGATATTGTTAAACATTAGGATTTAAGTGAAAAATGTCTTAAATATAGAAGAAAAAGTGTAAAAAATTATTTTAATTTTAATAAAAAGTGTATTAAAATTTAATAAAATATATTTGGATTTTAATAAAAAAATTGTCTTGTGTCCATTCGACTGTTTGTATCCAAAAAACTAAAGCTTGCTTGTTTTTAGTTTTCTAAAAACACTTTTCAGAAAATTCTATTTCTTATTTTTCTTGTTTTTTTGTTTTTATTGAATTTTTTTAATATTTAAATAATTTTTTTAATTTTTAGACACACCTAACATAAATATACATAAAAAGTATATTTTTTGTGAAAAATTCTTTTAAAAATTCACTAAATACCAAAAATAAAAATAAAAAATACGAAAATTCAGTATATTTTTTCATATTTTTATGTATTTATTAATTTTTTTAAAATATTTTTTTCACAGATTTTTTACTTTTTAGATATATTTAGTAAAGTGCATCTAAAAAGGTAAAAAAAAAATGCTTAAAATTTTGAAAATATTCACTAAAAATTTTTAAAAAAAAACAAAAAATAAAAAACTCAGTTTTCAAAAAATTTTATCCAAAAAAATCAAACCAAACACACACATTTTTATTCATAAATTTATATTTGAATATTTGATAATTTATACTCCATTCGTTCCAAAATATTAGTCTCTTATTTCATTTTTTATTATCCCAAAATATTAGTCCATTTTCAAAAATCAAGAACTAAATGAATTTTCTATTTTGCCCTTCTTTTAAATTCATTAACAACACAAAAAATATAATTATGACAATTGATATTCCAAAAAAAATATACTATCAAAGAATAATTTTGAAAAATTAATATTTTTAAAATGCAATAATTGTACTACCAAAAAAAGTTGAATTATCTATAAGAGACTATTATTTTGGAACGGAAGAAGTATATAAACGACACGAATAATATGCGCTAAGAATTTATGTGGTGTACAAATAGAATTTCCCTAACCTTAATCACAGCCACTACAAACCATCTCTTCCAACCCCTCCCTAAGTTGCCAGCCACCCCTTCCCTGCAACCACCTCGACCCCACCTCTTCCCCCAGCAGCCCCAACCCCCTCTCTTATTGTTCATGACCAAGGGTGGTAGAGGTTCGCAATATGCAGTTGATGGTGTGAAGTAAAGTATGTATCACGCGTGTGAACTGATAACTTGTGGTGCGAAAATTGAAGCCTCCCATTACCCTCAATCACACTGTCATTCGATGGCAAAACTATTTTCTTCGTCCTTAAGATGGTATACATTCATTGATCTTTCTTCATAACATTAACATCTAAATTAGTATTTGTTCATTTTATACGAACAATACATCATCACAAACTACTTCTAAACTCTTCAAGTATATCAATCTCACAAAGCTTTCACCAAATCATGTAGAAAAACCGCCATAAATGTTGATGTAAAACATACAATTTTCTTAAGTATTGACACTTACCATATACTTTTCTCTATTCAAAATTTGGAGTTTACAGTCAAATATATGTGATTCCAGTGTGCCCAATTAGACAACAGAAGCCAATCATGGACATACATACATACATACATACATGTGCCAACCCAAGAACCTACTTTGGCATGAAATATACATATGAGAGTTCTAGAAAGAGTAAATAACTTGAACAAAAGAATTGTATATCTCAATTCTGTACAATTTACTACCATTCTGCGTGCATCTCTGCTTTGAATGTCGAATTTGATTTCAGAGTCTTCTTTGCTAAGTTGCGAATGTCTTCTCTTGTTGACTCAACTGATATTCGTGCGAGTTCTTTTGCCCCTCCACTAGATATGAAATCTCGGGCATTGTCCTCTGCAATAGCCATCAATAATTGGTACTTCTAAATAGAATTAATTATTAGAAATGAATTTTCTAGCATTTGTTTCCATACCAGGTTTTGAAAATGCGAGAGAGAGAGAGAGGGGGATGAGATTGGGTCCTATCAATCTACACAATTTTTTTATTTTTATTTTATGAGTTAAACATCCAGTAATGACTCCATAAAGAAAAAAAAGACTGATACATTGAAATGAAAATAAAATCCACAAACATCCATGTTATAGAGACCATAGAAATTAAAATAGGAAAAAATGGAAAAAATATATGAATAGTGCCGCTTCTCTTTGGAAAAGAATGAAAATGAGGTCTTAGATCACAAAAACAAAATAGAAAACTGAAACTTATTCTGAATCACAGAGATTCAGAAGAGTCTTGATATGTTCTACTCAATAGTTACAGGATTTTTTTAATTTCCAAGTTTTTTTTTTATTTATTTATTATTAAATGGATTCTTGGACAAACAAATTTATAAAGTAAACCCCAAGTGTTATGCTTCTTCCATTAGTTCAATTAGAAGTGTCAAAATATTAAGGGTACTTAAAAAGAAATTGAAAAAAAAAAAAAAAAAAAGGAACTAAATTATAAACAAAAAACACCAAAAAGTAGCATACCATTTTGTGCTAAATGGCAAAGAGCAAGCTCAATATGGCGTCGACTCGAAGTTGAAGAAGAATTATAGTTGGCAATCAACCATGTAAGCACACCATCGTCCATTAGGACTGAACGGCCTCTCCTATGTCCTGCAGTGGGTAAAAACATCCATGTTCGTGTTTAGAAATGATAACATATATATCTAATATATGTGTATTATGGAAGTACAACCTCGACAAACCTTGAACAATTCCTCGGGATTCGCATTTTGCAAAGTTAGCTATTCCTCTGGCAACCTGTGCTATGACATCACTATTCCCAGATCTAACCATTCCCAAGAGTGCCTTGATGCCTCCATCTTCTCTAAGCATCACATGTAACTTCTCTATTATGAAACAAAGAGCTCTGCATCAATATTAAAGACTCTGTTCCACATAGTATTACTTTTCTAATGCTCATGAAACACTTCAGCAACAGGTGGTTTTGTGTTGTGCAAAATCGTGGTTTCAATCACACGATAGAGCAGTAAATAAAATACCAAGCGCGCACACAAAAAACAAGAACACAAGATATACATAGTTTGACAGGATGCATACATCCATGGTAGATAGAAAACGAAATCTACCACACTCAATAAGGATTACAAGACTCTCAACCTCTCAACGCAGCTATGTATTCTGTAACACTATGAAACCTGACCCGATAACTACAACATATACCACCTAGTCTTCAGGACTTACAGTACTCTTGAGTGTACAGTAAATACAAGACACCAAACAACAATTCGTTTATGCAGTATACAAGACCAGAGCAGAAGTATCTCAACATGACAGGTGATGACAAGTTTTTAAAAATTTACCAAGTATTTAATATAACAAAACGTTTCATATGACTTGCAATATTAATCAAGGCATTAGAGATGAGATTGAAGTACATTAGGTATCTAAACCCATCCTACAACATGATTTCGATACGTCAACTGCAGAATCACCTTGAGCTTACCATTTCCACACAAATTTGCAATGGCTCCAGCTACCATTCTTAAAGTTTGGGGATCATCTGTTTTGGACGTAGTATTTGCCAAGAGTCGAGCACCTCCTTTATTCATTATTAAGCTTTGATTTGCCTCTGGGAAGAGAGAAGATGAAAGACACTTAACAAAAGCTCAAGGATACATGTGTTAGTATGTGTTTAATCAAAGGTGTTATTACAAAACAAATACATTCTTCTGAGGGATTACAAGGCATTTTCAAATGCAGGAACAAGGCTTATGCTACCATTGCAATTATTTGGCAAAATCTTTGATTTAAGAACATTTTTTTTCTAACAATAGATCAAGGCTTATTACGTTGGGGAAAGCAATTAAATTGGTTTGTCTTGTATATGGGTGTGTTAATTAAATTTAAAACCAACTGAACGCATATTAAAAACAATCTATATGCCCAATGAGGAAAGAAGAAAATATTAAACCAAGAGAATGCAAACATTCACAGTACCATTCATTGCCAAATTAGCAATAGCTCCAGAAGCCACCCTAAGTATGGTTGCATTTTGGGATGATCGCAACAGCATGAGCAGTGCATCTAGACCACCTTCCTCCACAATCTTTTCCTGATTGATATCTGAAAAGGAAAAAAAGAAAATGAAAAAATTTGGGGGTGGTGGATAAGATAATGAGATTTTTCATATATCGAATGTTTATCTTGAGAAGAAAATGAGTATAGCAGTAACAAGTTCTTATATAACCTTTCAATTTAATTGGGAAATAAGAGTGTCTAAAGCAAAGCCTTTCATGACAACTAAAAAAGTACAGATTATCTTATGCCCAAACAATATTATGACATGTTGACTATTTAATACTTTACATCGTACCACATGGCAACAGAGAAAGGATACAAGAAAGATAAAGGCACCAAGGTTATGAAATAGGAATGAGGCTAGAATGAATAGCAGCAGAGTTGTGTAAAGTGTATATTCATCTTTGTTTTTGTCATTCACATTTCTCAAGGCGTTGAATATATCTTAGTTTTAGTTACGAGCAGAAGAATCCAGATTTTGGTAAGTAAGCTCTGATTAGTTAGCTGCTCAAACCACAATAATATCACAAATAAAGCCCGTAAAGAAATAAAACAGAATTTTACTGATTTTGAAGTTTTCAAAGAAGAATGAGCACTTGTTTGAGTTACTAAAAATCAAAATTCATTTAAGAAGAAATTTTAAATAACTTTTTAACACTTCAGAATTTGTATAATTTTGTGTACTTCATAGTTAAATATGCTGTGTACATGCTTATTTTGATATTTCATTTGAATCGAAACATAACAATTTGTAAATTGTGCAGAGCTACACAGTGAGCATCAAGTCACTCACTCACACATACATGCATGCAACAAGCAAGTTTAGGACACACAGAAACAACTCAAAAACAGTAATCTGTTATGTACCTTCAGCAGCAAGATTAGCCACCACCTTTACAGCATGGATTTGGACATCGATATCTCCAGATGTTAACAATTGTAATATTTTTTCAAGCCCAACTGGAAGCACGAAGTAGAAAATCTTGTAAGTTATCTAAAAAGGAGGGAGGAATTGTTGAACTTTATATGGTTTAAAAAAATTTCCCTAAGACGCTTGGAATGGGTGCAAATGTAACCTTTGGCATTATTTGAACAAAAAGTTATTTTACATGTACACAATCTCTTGAATGCCATACCAAAAACTTGGGTTCAAGTGTTCCTAGCAGCTTGGTCACCTAAAATTAATGCCTAACTATTGCATAGGGTGAATGGAGATAAATAAAACATAAAATTTCTTGCCTTCTTCACAAATCTTTGCAATTGTGGCCCTCTGACCGGAAATTGTTTCCCTTGATTGGTTTGATTTATGTAAACCCAGTGGTTTAACCATATTCTCTTTCATGTATGATTTCTTGTCCTGTGGAACATAAGGTGTAAATCCTTAGAACATTGTTGAGGATATAAATAATAAAGTTTCTCCTCTCTTTGATAGCTTAAGCTTTTAGATGAGTTGGTGGTCAACAATTGAATATGGTATCAAAGCAAGCAATAGATCCTGTGTTCAAACCTCACCACCTACCCGATAATTAAAAAATATTTGCACGTGTTTGGCCACTTATGAAGAAGAGCCTAGCCACGTGAGGGGGCATGTTGAGGATATAAGCAATAAAGTTGTCCCTCTCTCTAATAGTTTAAGCTTTCAGATGAGTTGGTGATCAACAATTCAATAAACATGGATGGCATATCCCGTGAATACAGAACATAGAACCACTTACCTCAAAGTCATCATGATTTTCAGGCACCAGCATCTTTGATTTAAGAAGCTCAGTTTCAAAAGCTTTCCTTTGTTTTTCCTCAATTAGAAGGCTCTGCGTCACAGCATTAAGTTCTTCCTTCAATGTTGCCTTAATAATTCCAAATTTACAGGGAAGAAAAAAGAAGTCTTGTTAGTACAATATCAGCATTTCAGCTAGGCAAAAAACTCATACCATAGAAGAGTGTCTAAATGAGAATACTTAAAAGTACATTGATTTCAACTTTACACACGGAAATACTATTTGTCAACCATACCTTGTCTGACAATTGAACTTTATATTCTGCTTTCAAAGAGTCAAGTTCATTCAAAGTCTTCTGACGCAGCTGATGACTTTCTTGTAGTTTCAGCCTAAGCTCATCAATCACCTTTTGCCCCTGAATCTGGAATTAAGAAAAAGAAGAAAAATATCAGTGAATAGTAACCAATGATAACAATCGCAACAATAGCTGTAATAATTATTAACAAAAAAAGTTGTTAGGTATTATTATTATTATTTTTATTTAAAAGGAACAAGTTTTGGTTATCATATTTCTTGAATAATTCATCTGTTGAAATATTTATCCTCACTCTTCTCCCTAAATCAGAGTCCAAAAATATGGTAATTAGTAGGGGAGCTTAATGACTAGGCACAAGTGGACTCATGTAGCATTACCTTTTTATGGCATTTAGGGAAAATATTGGTGAATAGCACTACATAGGTTGTTTTGTATAATATAGATCCATATATTGAACTTGTTATTTTTATTATTTTATTTTTTTATTAAGAATAAAACAAATATAAAAATCATGGACCAAAAACTGAATCATAAATCAGTTGATTTACCTTATGGGGTCCTACTAACAACTACCCAATGGGCGTTCATTAAGAATCACAAAATGCAAAAAAACACTTACATTTTTATATTTTTTTTAATACATTTTTCACATATTTTAATACACTTGACCTGGTTTGAGTTTTGAAGATCTCTTAATTGCATCTTCGTCATATCCAATCCTTCTTCTACACCTTTAAAACGGGCATGCCCATCATCTAGTTCCTGCTTTAATTCTGCTATTTTCTTCTCATACATTTGAGTGGTGTCTGAGAGAGCCTTCTGATATGTAGAATTTTCCTTTTGATATTGCTGGTGGGAGAGGGAGAGAGAGAGAGAGGGGAGAGAAACAAAAACATCAGAACTAAAGTCTCTTGTCAGCTGAAACTAGGATTCTAAGAGCAACAAAAATTTGAACTGCTTTTAAAATTTTACCAGACTTGGCTTAAAATCTATTGTGAAGAGATTTGTTGTGTTAAAATGCATATAAACAATTCTCGCAGTAAATATTGATTTGAAACTTTAAAGTACCAAGAAATCACTGCTTTAATCTGTTTACAAGATTAAAAAGACCAATGAAGACTCATTATAAATTGATTATTGGAATTAGAGGGCTAAGAGGAACATCGTCCTTCCATATTTAATGAGATGGTTAACCTGCATTGTCTTTTGATGATCACTTAGCAACTTCTTCATCACATCTAACTGTTCTTCAGCACTTTCAGAGTGAGCCTGCTGGTCCTCTAATTGCTTCATCAACTCTGCTATCTTCTTCTCATACATCTGGGTGGTATCTGCAAGTACTTTCTGATACGTAGAACTGTCAAGCTGGTATTGCTACTAGCAGACAAACCAACACAGTTAGTGTTTGTGCACATGTAGACCCAAATAATAGTAACCAAAAATAAACTGCTTTCTAAACTGTAAAGCCAAAACTTTAGATCCAAGGAAGAAATACAATTTAAAACTAGGAAACAATAAGAAAACCTGCACATAGCAAAGGTCTTTACTACCATATAGATGAAATTGATCAGAAGTTTACTTTTCTTCTAGTAATTTAACTGGGCAGTAAGAGAGAACTGTATAAAAAGGATTTGAAACACCTAACCACCAAGGTGTACTCAAATTGGGAGTTGGGGTTAGTTCATAGTTTACCAGAAGACTAGAATATACAGAGAATAAAAGGGGCAGGAAAAAAGAAGAAAAGAAAAACAAGAAACTCTGTGTTTCATATACCTTGCTGTGTTTTAGACTCATTTCTAAGTGTTCAACTTCATCATGCATAAAATCATTATGATCTTTTAGACGCTTCAGTTCATCTAATATGCCCTTCATCTTTATTTCCAGACGACCATTCTCTTTTGCTAGAAACTGCAAACAAGTGCAACATATTTAGAGAAAGTAATTTAAAAAATAAACAAAGAATGCTGGTGAACAGAACATATTGCCATACGCACACGCACGCATACGCGCACGCGTGCACACACACACACCTAAAAAGGACAAAACTAGAGCATCAATAGCTCCAAATAAAATGAATAAGCTAGAAGGTGGAAAGTGTGAACTGAAACACAGCCATAATATCATCAAATCCAAACTCTAAAACATATACCAACAGGAGAGACAACTACCTCAGACCTTGTAACTAAACTCTTTTCAGATTCAGCAAATGATTTTTGACACTCTCTGAGGTTTTTTTCCATTTCAACTCTGTCATTGTCCCTCAACTTTTGTTGTCTATCAATCTCCACAGTTAGATGATCCACCTGATTCTCAAGCTTCCGACAAAAACTTTCATAATCAAATTCTTCCTTAAGCTTTAACACGTTTACAACTTTCATGGCCTGCAAAAGCAATCAACATTAAGCTTCCATGATTAAGACAACTATTCTACAAAGTTGTTCAAAAGAAAAATATCCATAACAATCATTTAAAACAATATTCTAAGTTCTTTATGATTTGATTGTAGATGTCATACATTTGAAAGACTATTTACCATTGCATCACCAACCAAATGACCCTTTTAGCCATAAAACATAGAGGGGGAGAAAAAAGAAAAGAGGCTGCTTGATGCAGCTCAATTGATATGGAACCCACGAAAAGATGATACATTGATGACTAAAGTAGTTAGCATTGTTAGGATTCTTTCAATTAATGTTGCTGTTTTCTTATTTCTTTAAGGACATTTTAATAGCTTTAGTGACAGGGTTTGAATCTTATTAGGTATCAGCATCAATGTTAGGTAGGATTGATTCGCAAATGTTTCCATGAGTTTTTAGGGTTGTTTACAGCCGATAAATAGGCTCTATTGCTGTAGAATGAACTCTGGCCTCCAAAATTGTATTTATTCTGGCCTCCACAAGGAGAAAGCTTCAATCAAAGTTGCAGAGAAACCTTGGTTTCAAGGGGAAAAAACCCGGTTTCCTCCTATCTTCTTTTAGAAATTAAGAAGGAATTTTCTTAACTTTTATCAGAATAATTTGGGAATTTTGAAAATCTTGTAGGAAACTTTCAAAAGCTATTTGGAAACACAGAAGAAACTTATGAGGAATGCATTTCCCTATATTTCTAGTTTTTATGCTTCCAACACCTTTTCTCAATAGTAAAAAATAATTTTTCATGCAACGGGTTAGGTTTAGTGGAGTAGGTGAGGTGGTAGTGTTGTAGTGGGTTAGGTTTAGTGGAGTAGGTTTAAGTGGGTGAAGTAGGTGGAGAGTAGATGGATTTTAACACAGAATAATTTGGGAATTTTGAAAATCTTGTAGGAAACTTTCAAAAGCTATTTGGAAACACAGAAGAAACTTATGAGGAACGCATTTCCCTATATTTCTAGTTTTTATGCTTCCAACACCTTTTCTCAATAGTAAAAAATAATTTTTCATGCAACATTCTTAGTTATTCCTTATGCCAATGGTAAGGTGTGTACTCAATCTTTTCCCTCCCAAACACACATTAATGTGTACTAATTGGGCGTTGTTTTTTATTCTCAATTATTCCTTACAGTTCACAATTTACATTATTAACAGTGTTTCATATCAATTTTGTCAGACTTTTCTCTGGAAGTTTTTCTATGCCATTTAGTATCAAATTTCAGTTAGCTTCCTATTTCCCATGATTTGTTACCAAATTTTTTTGCTTTCATTTCTCTACGAGTTTTCCATTCCACTCCCCATTCTAGAAAGGTTTCCTCTTGTTTAAGTACAGTTGAAATTGAATGTATAAAGAGAATTGTATATGATGTATTATTGATTGATATATGTTGTTGTTGATTACAATTACAAGAATTCCTATTATATAGGAGTGTGTTTGGGAGTAGGTGGAGAGTAGGTGAAGTGGAGGTGGTAGTGGTGTAGTGGGTTAGGTTTAGTGGAGTAGGTGAGGTGGTAGTGGTGGTAGGTTTATGGTAAATTCTAACAAGTACCTTGTTAAGTAACTTAGTTGCTTGGTTCTCTAATCTATTTCCTAAATAGCAACTCAAATGATTTCTTGTCTGCAAAACACCATAATCATTAACAACCTTGGCAATGCAATGCATATTTCCCTTCCAAACACACTTTCCTCTCCAAAGAGAATTAGACCAATAATGGCACAGCAGATGATATCATCCTCTGTCTACTCTCAAAATTAGCAACACCAGACAGTCAGTGGCAACACACACATGTAGCACTGGATTGAGAGGTCAAATAAATAGAAAACATGTGAATGTCAAACAGATGGAAACAGCAAGAAACCTGGAGGATGTAAAGTTTTATGTTAAAAACAGATAATGCCAAATATTAAGTTGTAAGTATCACACTATTTGAAAGCTCAAAATCAAGAGAATGTCAACGAGATGCAAAGAGAGTGAGTGAACAAAGACATGAAATGAGGTGTAAAGGTTATATTTGAATGATGAAGTGCTTTATCTAACTCACCCGTTGTCCAAACATTATGGTGCTTGAGGTTTCAGCATGATGTCGAGAAGACGGCCCAATTGTTACAATAAGTGATGTCCTTGCAGAGCCTGTTTCATTAAATAAAGATAAATCTTCATAGAAACCAACATAAACAGAATGCAAACAACTGAGATATACTCTACTTTAATAAAATCCCCTATCAATTAAATGAGTTTTTTTTTTTTGTAAACCAAGTCTCACAATGAGAACTGAAACCAAGTTGTAGAATCACAAAAACATAAAATGTGCGAATGATTATTAGCGCAACACTATTGTTTGGAGTTGGAAAATAAATTCTAGTCAGCCTCTCCAGTCTTTGATAAACCAATGCTTTCAGTGCAGTCATTTTTGTTTTTTCTACTAATGTTATCATTGCTCTGATTTTGACCTTCATGGCGGTGATCACTAGTTTGAATGCTTCAGCAAAATCCAAAGGGCATTTGGATAGATTTTTGTTAATTTCCTTACATCCATGTTCCATCTGTACAAACCTTCGTAAATGTAGCGAAGATACAATGAGCCTTTTTTTATAGCAATAATGATTAATTTTTAGTGTTTCAAGGTCAGTCGATTTACTCGCCTTTTGTGATATCCTAGATATTAGTATTTCCATTGCATGTTAGGGCATGTTATATTTCATATGAAAAAATGCTCTATGATGTTGTTGGAAGATGATTAAGTACATCCTATTTATACGCCATTCTTTGGTGTGTAGAAACCCTAACATGGGAAGATTAGCTTAATCAAGGAATTTAAGTGAATTAAGTTTATATCATTCAAAAACCTATATGTTGTTAAATCATGATTACTTAAGTCTATCGTGCTTAGAAAGGCATATGAAAGTGAGAGTTGTCAGAATGACCTCCAAATGAATCACGAAGCAGTCTCGTTAGTTTAGAATCTCTAATAGGAATATGAGGACTGTTTTCAGCCAATGCATTTATACATTTCCCCAGGGAAGTAAGAGAGAGATTAATAAACTTAGCCTCTTCAAGCAAGCGGCCTTCACTGCCTGCACAAATAAAAATGAGCATTAATTACTGAAAAATAATATATTAGATAAAAGCAAATCACCATTCTACCATACAAAGACTCTAACTCAATGCTCAATAGAGCACATTGCTATTTTATCATTTCAGTGGGTAAAAATAAGGATTAGAATCTTATACTATTAACCCACATGAAGATAAATTTGAACACTTCGAAGTAAACAAATGGGAGGGGAAAAAACAAGCAAGAGATAGAGAGAGAAGAACAACAGTGGCAGAAATGGCAGTTTGAAATTCAAGGAGTATTTCAGATATGTGGTATGACAACAAACCAGATTTGTCTAATCTCTCAGATCCAGCAAGATCCACAATCAGCAGCTTGCTTTTTCGTACAGTAGGAATGCCATGACCATTAGATAAATCCCTTTTACTGTTTTTTTCATGAAAAGGAGCATCATTGTCCTCCTCATGGACAGCTCTCCGAAGATGAACCTATTGGAACAGTGGAAAGGGGGAGGGGGGGGGGGAGAGAGAGAGAGAGGGAGGAAAAGAAAAAAAGCGGATATGGAAGGTAATAAGTTTCAAGAACAGTCATTAAGTATGTTGATTATACTCTATAAACTTGAGGATTAAATCAAGAAATTAGAATCTGACATGACCCACCATAAGAATTGCATGACTACGAGAAGACTCTGTGTTCATCTTTGTATTTGCTGCATGACGGTTTGCCTCACCAGTTTGAAGTAGTTGAAAAAAGTGATCAAGATCTCGAATTTTAACTACCACTGCACCAGGCAATGTCACTTCTCCAGTCTTGGGGTCCTCAACAATTGGGATATTAATCTTCTCTGGTGCAAGTAAATCTTGTATATATTCCAGATACAACTGGTACAGAAACAAAATGCCTTTATTATGGAAATTAAATTGATACAGTTCATGAAAAAAAGAACATGAATAGGTTTCAAACTACATAAACAATCTGATGACAAGTTAAGCTCTAAAGAAAACAATTTTTGCTTATGGGCTCATTTCTAGATATTGAAGATGAAATTAAGAGATAGTATTAAGCAATTTTTGCTTTATTTTCACGGTTACAAAAGTAATGAGGTTAGTTCCACATATAATATTAGTAAGGTGAAAATTTAAATTGACTAATGAAATCCATTTTTAACAGCTTTATGTTTGTATTAACAAACATAAAGCTGTTAAAAACGGATTTCATTAGTCAATTTAAATAAAAGGTCTGCTTTTGCTTTTTTTAATTTTTTATTTTTAACTAGCATGAAGTGTATCGCCTCTTAGTGTTTTACATGGTTGTGTTACTACACGGATGGATGTCTTGGTCAGTTCTCATATTTTTTGATCTATACACATCCTGTTTTATGTTCCTCATGTTTTCTATAAGTTTCTAGAATTATACAACATTTTGTTCTATTTAAGAACATTTTCATTTCTCAGCTGATGAACTCAATCCAAAACGTAACTTGATCCATGCCAACTGATGAAGATAAAGTACTTCAACAGTCAGTAGAAGCCTAATTAATTCAAATATAAAAGTAAATCTTGATTTCTAATTTCCATACCTACTAACCAAAAAAACAGAAAACTAATTTCAGTACCTGCAAATATGAGACTTCAATATTATCAGATACAGGAGATGCATTGGCAAGTATATCTTCCATAGCTCTAACCATAATACCACGCTCGGAAGCATCATCTTTACCCAGTCTTCCTAGAGTGTAAGTCTTGCCAGTACCTGTTTGACCGTAAGCCATAACTGTCCCATTATACCCATTCAATACACTCTGCAAAAGTTTATCAAAGTCAGCTTTATATGATCAACATACCATCCAAAAGTAATCATTTCTTTTTCAACAATGAGAATAGCAGAAAATATTTGCTTCAAAATTACCAATTACAGAACTGCACATACACATACACATTCATCATTGACACACATATAGAATTTCCAAATGCACCATACAATTTACAAAGATTATAGGATGATAAAATACTAGGTCATTTGTCATTGAGATTAAGATTTTCAGCACTGGTCACAATGTCACAAAGCTTCAACATTAAACAGGGCATATGGATATTATAAACATGTTAGATACAAACCTATACATATATGGATTAAGATTTTCAGCAGTTACAACATCTCAAAGCTTCAACATTAAACAGGGCATATGAATATTATAAATATGTTAGATACAAACCTATACATATATGGAAACAACTATCTCTTAACTGGGATATGACTGAGCTATTTTATCACTTACCTCAACTACAGGTTTTGCTACTACTTCATAAACACGCCTTTGAGAAGCACTCTCTGAAAATACTTCATCAAATCTATAAGATTCAGAATTCCAATTGTTTTTTTTCAACTTTAACCTGTTGAGCTACATAAAGGGGACCCAAAAAAAGAAAAAGAAAATGTTAATATAAAGGTCCTGGTCACTGCTGAAATGTGAGCATGCACATGCAAGTAAGAGAGGGGAAACTAATAATGAGAAGTATATCCTTGCAATCAACTGAAATCAACTACCAAGTATGTTTTCATTCACATCAATGTTCAGGAATTTGGGTTGATGACAAATTAGCAGCATAAATCAATCACCTCTGGTTGTATTTCAACACAATCAGCAAAATCAGCATCTGAAAGAAGATCCTCTGCATTTCTTGGTCTAAGTCTGACTGCAACTCTCACTCTTCCAGGTTCTGTGGTATGGTAGATATCAAACTTAGACCCTTCATACAAGTTTTCATTAATCCAATTCGCAATAAGTACTAATAGAGTGTCATGTCCACAATGCTGCCATGGTATTTAATTGAATGAATAAAGCACAGGAAATAAATAACCTAATGAATTTCCAAACTGCTAAATAGTTAGAAATTGTTTATGGAAAATAAGTGTGAATAAAAAATCTTAATATCTATTTTAAAAGGCTTTATTCATAAATAAATGGGAAGTTTTGAGCTCTAAATTCCTAAAAGTAAAAAGTCTAAAAGGTGATTGGATATTTAGCCCACATTATCTTTATTTTATTATTCGATCCTAAGTTGTTTTCTTTAAATTAGCAATGCATGCCATATGTGTTTAAGTGACTGATATGTGTGTCCCCCCAGCGTCTGAAGCGTGCCCAATTTTAAAAATAAAAACAAAACTAATCTAACACAAACACGGCACCTTCTTAGAAGTATCCGTGTTTCTTAAACGAACACCATACATGTTTTTCAATCAAATCTTTCTCTCAATAATTTATGTAATTTTTCTTCCAAAATGACTCTTCGGGGCACTAATATGGGTTTCTTAAACTTGTTATATACCAATTTCTGGACCAATCAAAAAATTTAGATGTCCACTAAAGTCTACAAGCTTTCTTCTCAAGACTTTTCAAGCAATAATTCTAGCTAAACCAAATTTGGAAATCTATGAGATGATACCTCACCCTTCTACCTAAACTGAACAACTTTAATAGGGAAATTACACTCACCTCCCCTGAGGTCCGGAGAAAATACAGTAGCCTCGCACTTTTGACATAATTACACTAACTTCTCTTTTAGTATGGTTAAAGGCACCGAAACTAATGCCAATGGTGGGTAGGCACTCAAATAAACAAAGATAAATATTTATTATAATAGGAAAGAGGTGATAATATAATTTTTTTTATTCAGATAACTAACTAATTACTAATGAAAAAGGGCGCAGGTGTTATGTGAATTAAAACATTGAGAGATGTCAATGTAATTATGTCAACTTAATATATATATATTTATATTAATCATTATCCATTTTCACAGTGGTGCTAGGAAAATTAATGCAGAACCAGTATTATTTTGCCCTCTCCTCTCAAAAAGGGAATTGACCCTGTCAAAGTCTTTCATTGTAGCAAATACACCATTTGGAGATTAAATTTACAAGAATTTTTAACTTGTGTGAATCATTATACTTGCTTAGATGAAGTCCAACAAAATCAAGATTTTGAAATTGATAACGACGGGATTGCACTAATGAACTTGAATGTTCATACCCATTTAGTGATCCAGAGAGAGAGAGAGAGAGAGACCTGGGTCGTCATCGTCGTGAGAGCGAGTTCGAGAATTAGGGGTAACAGAGCGCCGGGAAGCAGGGGGTTTGGGGCGAACAGATAGATTAGTCTGTTGTCCAATCGAACGCTTCGAGAAAGAGCAGAAGAAGAGCGTCCGTGAGGAATGTGCTGTCTCTCGGACCTCTGTGAAGACCTCAACGCAGAACTCGACGACGCCATTACATGCCCAAGACTCAACACATAGGAATAGAGAGAGAGAGAGTACTGAATGAAGAAATAGTAAGAATCTAGACAGGAGAAAGAGGAGAGAAAGATTGTATAGGGGTTTGAGGACGGCACGATTGAAACAAAATTGCTCTAATAAAAAAATAAATACTTTCCCGCGTTTCTTTCTTTTTTTTTTTTTTTTTTTTGGGGGGGGGGGGGGGGGCTTCTTTTGTCGGTTTGTATGGGTTTTCAAGACGGCAAATTATTTTAGGATTAAATTTTGGGTTTTGTTATAAATTTTAAATAATTTATTAAATTTATTATCAAACTTTTTACATAGTGAGACTTATACATATGTGAATTTATGTGAATCTCATTTTAATAGAAAATTTGATAAATTATTTAAGACTTATAATTTTTTTTTAAAATTTTACTTTTTCATCTTAACTTTTAGCTGAATTTCATTTTCATCCCTAACTTTTTAAATTTCAAATCGAGTCCTCAGACTTTAACACATATTACGATATTGTTCATGTGAAAAGCCACTTGATCAAGTTGGAATTTATTTGAAAATTTTAATATAAAGATGATAGTTTGTCCATCAAAGTCTTAATGAGTTTAGAGTAAAAAAAAAATTAAAAATAAACCAAATTATTTGAGTTTAATTTATGTTCAACTCGTTAAAAGATAACTTAAAATCGATTCGTTACATAAATTAAGTTTTAATACAATTTAAAACTTGTTAAATTTTCAATTTGACCTTAAATAATATATGATTCAATTACGTTATATATATTTTTAAAAAATCAAATTGCACGAGTTCGGTTTATAATTGTCTCAATTAAAAATCTCATTTGAGGTCAACTTGAAAGGTAAATACATTAAGGTTTAATAAAATTTTAAAATTGTTTAGATTTTAGCCAAACAAAATATTAGTTGACGCAACTCGTTTACAATTCCTTAATGAATTGAAACACAAGTTAAAATTGTAAACACAAGTTAAGCTACTTTAATAAGAATGTGAGTGATCAAACTAAAGCTTCGCTTGGTGTTAGATTTTTGATTTAAAAAGCACAAGAAGACAAAATTAGCTACACAAGTCAATAAGATAAAATGTCACATTCAGACTATAATCACTATACTTTTTCTCTCACAAAAGTCAAAAAAACTAAAAAAAATCAAACTAAACAAGACTAAAAAAGTCCCAACACAAAAAAACTAATGCCAAACAAAAACTAAATAGTTTGTTTTGTGTTAATGTTATTAGCCTTGTTTTGAAAGTTAGTCATTTGACTTTTTAACTATTTTAAACTAGCTAAAAAAATTGTGTTTTGAAAGTTAGTTGATTTTTTTTTTTTTTTTTTTATAGTTAATTTGATAGTTCTGAGAGAAAAAATAAAATAATTATGGATTGGATATAATATTTTATTTTATTGATTATTTTTATTTATTTTATAGCCTAACTCTCTTTCCAAACAAGCCTATTAAAAAATTGGTTTAAGCAACAAATTTGATTAACATTGGAGTAATTTTGTAAATTACAAACTAATGTTGGATCCCTAGATTTTGGAAGAATTGCTAGAACTTCCTGTAACTATGTTTGTGCCCGTGATTTGGCTGACAATGACAATGACAATGACCTGTTATCCCATCATGAATCTTGTCTCGTTCACATCTGGTGAATCAAGGGGCCCCACTGAAAAGTAGTTTCCAATCTTGTGGTCCAAATGCAAAAATATCAAAATTTGGGATATTGAAGACCTTTTTTAAAGAGGGCGGCAAATATGTAGTTAACAACCAATCAAAAGTATAAAGCAAATATGTAGTTAACAACCAATTAAAAGTATAAAGAGCAAAGTTGATCATGATCACAGTTGGTACAAAGAGTAAAGTTGATCATGATCATAGTCCAATAATTGTTTTTTTTCATGATAATCAAACACATGGTTTTGTGTGACCGTGCCATTTAAATTGGTAAGTATCTGGTTAAACTCGTAAAGTTTTTATATGAAATTAATTTAAATTGACTTATTGTAAAAAAAAATTATATTTAAATTTATTTAATGAAATTAGCTTAGACAGTTTAGTAAGGGTTAGGTCGTAACATTTGAGATTTATAATTATTTTAAGATTTAATTTTTATTTTTTTCTTTATTCAACTGGTCAAAACATTTTGTTGGCATTTGTTTCTAGATTATTTGTTAAAATTGTAGAACAAAATTCATTCTACCAAAATATTATTTTGGAGCACCATGCCCTCATTGGGTCAAAAACGATGAAATAAGTCCCATACAAATACAAATTAAAATGCAAGATTAACATCGTTAATAAAAGTAAAAACTACCCTTAATGTCCTTATATTGGAGTGTTTTGAAAAATTGGTAAAAAGTTGAATTTTTGACTTTTGGCTTTTTTGACAAAAAATTGGTGTTTTTAGCTAAAAAAACTAAAAATACAAAAAACTGACTTTTTTAACTTGTTGTCAAAAGACTCCATTGCGTCATCTCAATTTCTTTTGCAATTCACATGATTTTTAAAGTAATCATATATCAATCAATTAAACTACATCTTAATCCAAGTACTCTTCATTTTATAAGATGACTTATAATTTTAATCTAATTTCTAATTTATTTATGCATTATATATATACACACACTAACATATATATTGGTGGTATATTTTATTAGAATAATGGGAACTAGTAAAGCCAAGCTCAAGTAGGACAATAATGACAATTGAGAACCCCTGGCATTACTAAATTGACTATTGAAAAAAGGGATTTGCCAGTCATGAAACCATTTGGGATTATGAGTTTGCCACAACACAACAACTAACAAAGTTAACTAATCAAAATCCAATCTTCTATGAGTGTTTTTTTCTTGTCGTCCTACATATACATATAGAGTAGCAGCACATGTGAGCTTCAACGTGGGTTGCCGTCCTCAACAGGATGTCAAAAAAAAAACATCACCATCTCTTATTTATTTATTTTTGAAGTTTAAAGGGTAGTGGATATGACCAGTTCAATGTAATTAAGAAAATTTATTCAAATAAAAAAATATAAAAAGAACGTCCTGTGATTTTTAATTTGTTAAATGACATTCTTGGGATATTATTTAGTATTAGAATTGGGGTGCAAAAGCTACATTGAATTCAATAAAACATCTCAATTCCTTTCACGTATTGAATACATATTTTACATTATTTATCTCTGTATTTTCATACTATGTATTACTTTTAGTTGTTTCAATCTTCTTAAAAAAGAAATTATATTAATTTATGAGACATTATATATATTTTTTGAATTTCAAGAATATTCGGTGTTATTTCTCTCCTTTTTGAAAAAATAATAATTTAAATATGAGAAAATGGTTGAAAATGAGTGTCAAACAATCCAATACGCAATGGAGTGTAGATAACTGAAAGTTATTAAAGACCTTCCTTATGACTAGTGACCTTTTTGTTCATATCTCCAAAAATAATAGAGAGCTCCAATCAATTATGGTCATACTCACAATTCATGCAGGCGTTAGCTTTTTGTGTCATTTTCTACCATATGACTATCACATTTCAGAAATTCTATTAACCTAAAACATAAATTAGAAAATGATTCAAAATTTTTAAATTTATGATATGCTTTTAAAATTGTTATTATGAGTCACACCATGAACAAATCTTGATCTTTAATTATTAATTCTGAATAGTAGATTTCTGAATTCCTTTTATAAGTTCATAGAGTGGTTAATTACATTTTACTATAGATCACTGTCTGTATGGTGCAGTTTGAAATTAATACTATAATTTATTTTTATTTTTTTTATGTGTGTTTTAACTTATGTTTACAACTTCTGTTATAAATATAACCTAAGTTTTTAAAAAATTAATTATTTTGAAGTTGGGAGATGGATGTTTCTAAATGGACAATGTTTCTGTTCAATTCATTTTGAGAACCCGATTGTTCAGTCCAAGTCCCATTTTAATAATTCGATTTGTTAATCTTTTAGGCATCTATATAGATTATTCATAAAAAAATAAAATAAAATCGATCTTAATGTAGCCACAGGATTCAATAATATACATATTAAAAAAAATGAATAGCTATTTTTAAAATCACACTTACCATCAAATTTTTTCAAGACAAATGTGATGAAATTATGTGGTTATAATTATTGGATCAATTTTATAATTTTTGAATAACATATTATAAAATGGAGTCATGGTGGATCCACATATCCAAACACTAAAAACTGGATACAAATTGAATCCTTTTTAAATTGGGTTTGGCTTACCTCTGGTGCTCATAGGTATAACACATTTACAAGTGACAATGCATCATTGCTTCTTGAAATTAAATTAGAAATAGTAACTGGATGAGACAATAATTTTTATTTATTTTATTTTTAACATTCAATTATATTATAATGTTTCATCCCCACCATAGTATATACTCTAAATCATCATCCTAATCGTGATATATTCTAAATCTTCCATATGTGCCCTTCCCGAACAAGTAGCACATTAGAATCCATGGAGTTGGTCTTGATAAAAAATTTAAGCTAATTTGCCATGTTCAAATTTGCATCATCTTGCACACATAATTTTAATCCAAATGGGTGAAACATTCAACAAGTCATTAACTTCTTTGTTTTCTTCAGTTTGAATGTGTCATATCTTTCTATATAAAGAGATTCAATCTGTTTTTTCAAATGTGTAATGACTTAAGGCTGAATTTATAATTTAACTAGTGTAGATTTTATAAACTGTATTATTGTGTTCAACCATCATACTGTAAGAAATGGTTTGGAAATGAAAAATAGTTTGGTAAAAATAGATTTTTCTTAAAACTTTGGTCTAATTTTTAATTGGGACTCATGCGCTGAGGTTGGCAGGTATTGGTAGTAATATGTTCTATGCTGCGTTGTAATTCACGTAGTATATTTAGTTATTCAAAACCATTATTAAGTGAATGGAAAATTAATGCCAAAGTAAGCTCCATAAAAATGGTGTTATGGTGGGTTTCCCAAATTTTGAGGAATGAAAGTTTGTCCCACATTGTTTGGCTAAACTAACATTGTTAGGTTTATAAGCCTCAGGCGTGGGATGTGAGGTTGAGTTGGGCTTGTCTAGTCCACTGCTTGTATTTTTTAGCAAAAAACATTTGAATTTTATTTTTTCTAAAATTAAATTGTTACCTTTTGGAATTTGAATTTCAACTCCAAATTGGCATTTTGGTCCAACACACTTATCCATATTTTTTCATCCACCCAAACAGGTTTATACAAGTTTAAATTTAAACCGAATAGGTTCATATCTGTTTAAATTTAAACCGAACAGGTTTGTATCTGTTTAATTCAAACTAAACAGGTCTTGTACCTGTTCAAACCTGTCCGAATAGGTTTTCTATCTATTCTAAAAAGCCACCAGGTTTTTTATTAAATATACAGTCCCTCACTTGGATTTTGTACTCAATAATTTTCGTTCATGCCTCTGCTATTACTCTCTGCATTCTGCTGCATTTATTTTTCTGTGAGAAAGTGTATAAACACAAAGCGTGTTCGTTATGTGAATAGTTTGTAGTGCTGCTACTGTTCGTTGTTGATCATGTTATCTTAGGAGATAGATGTCCATAATCCGTTAGCACCCGAGAAAGGACGAATCTGTCTTAAGGAAACAATGTTCAACACTAAACTTGATCAAAATTTTGTTTGAGAAAATAATAAGGTAAGTGATTAGTTTGGTTTTCTATTTTATTATTTTTCCATTTTCAGATTCAGATTTTGTTTTTTGTAACAAAATAAGAATTTGTTGTTTTAATTTTTTTTTATATACTGATTTGATTTTTGTAATCAAACAGTCTCTCTCATTTCTTTAATCATTTATTTGAATACATTGAAGATTGTTCAACACATACATTATTTTCATATATAATTAAATGTTTAAAGGGTATGTGTATATAATTTTAGGGGAAATTACTCGTAGGTCTTGTTTGAAATGTGTGCACTATTTAATTCAACAACTTTTTGAGTAGACTCAAAAGTTCTATATGTTTTCCTCTCTCTGCTTTTTGTTTCATTCTTTACGTTTTCCTCTCTCTCTCTCTCTCTCTCTCTCTTCTGGGTTTTCTTTTCCTTTTCTTTGTCGTGCCAACGACCGATGAACACACTTTTCTTATTCTCTTTCTCTTTCTAATATATAGTCACTGGTGATCGACAACTACCATTGATTGGCGTTCATCGGCAACCACCAACCACCAACATCAACTTGTGACTTCATTCTCATTGATGGCGAAAAAGATAAGATCTACATTAGATTTGAGTAGATCTACATGAGATCCGACTAGATTTAAACAAAAAATAGTTGCCAGAGTACAATATTCTTTCTATATCTATTCTTTCCTTCGATTTCTTAATTTTTCTATCTTTTCTCTGTTACACACGTCTATTTTTCTATTTTAATGGAGAAAATTTTCAAATTCTGAATAAGTTATTTTTAAGTTTTAGTTACAAGCGGTGAAAACTGTAAAATTTTACAGTTTCAGCTTGGTGTTGCAATGAATCATGCTTTAAAATTACAAAATTTTACAGTTTCATAACATTCTTTAGAATTGTAAAATTTTGCGGTTTCATAACATGTTTTCCAGCTTAATAGAATAATATTTTGAAACTGTAACATTTTATAGTTTCAAAGTTTACATTTCAGTTTGATCAATATTACAGATTATTTGCTTAAACTCTACAAAAATTAAAAAATAATATATATACTTTTTCCCATTATTGTTTGTTGTTGTCATGTTTTTTAACTATAATTTCTCCATTTATTTTTTTTTAGGGCAATATTCTGAATATTTCGATAAGTCTCCGATGATGTTCTTGACATTTTCCAGTGATGTTTAGAACGCTCTAGCGAACTTCCGGTGATACTCCAGCGACTTCCCGGTGATGTTGCATATTCCGACGAGTCTTCGGTGAGTCTGACAACAGTCGTTGGATGTAATAGCATTTTTAAAGTTATAAAAAAAAAAATTATTTGGTAACAATTAAAAATATGTAAAATTAATTAATACAAGTATTTTGTTTTGAGATTAGATGGATTTTAAACTTTGCGTATAAAGCGCCCATAATTTTATTAACTTGGGCAATGATACTCATGCAATTGGAAGGATGTTCAAATTAATGATTCAGATTTATTTTCTAAACATATAACGATTAAAAGTGATGATACATATAATAGGTCAATTTTCATATGAAGGGCTGGTTTGGAATTTATTTATTTGATATTTTTTTTTAAATTTTTTACAAGAAAATATACAAAAAAAATAATAATATGATAATTTATATACAATAAATAAATAAATAAATAATTTATTTAGAGAGTTGCCAAACAAGTCGCTTAATTTTTGTGGAGATCGTAATAGTCAACGTACACCTGGTATTCTGCCGATTGTGAAGCCCTTCGATTAAAAAATGTTTGAAATTTTAGAAAAATTATTTAAAATTTTGATACAAACTTTTTAAATAATTTTCTAAAAAAACATTTCAAAACATTGCTTGTATATAGATCTGTTAAAAAAAAAAAAAAAAAAAAAAAAAATCTGTATAATGGACGAACAACAGATCTGTTCAACACACACACACAACAACAACTTTTCAGATCACAGCAATCATCAATCAACAACATATATATAACAACTTAAAAAAAAAAAAAAATGTTCTTCAACAACAGATATATATATATATATATAGTGATAGAGAAAGAGAGATGCGGTCAACTTCGAGAGGCGGTGGTGGATCGACGGAGGGCTTCTTCGCTTCAGATCTGTTCAGATCGGTTTCACTTCTTCAGATCTGTTCTGAGTCTGCATGAGTCTGTGAGTGAGTGAAGGAGATGCAATCGACTTCGAGAGGTGGTGGTGGAATGGCAGAGGCGGTGGTGGGGTGGAGCAGCGGGTGAGAGAGAGGGAGAGGAGCTGTGATCGACTTCGAGAGAGAGAGAGGTCTGAGAGAGAGAGAGGTCTGAGAGAGAGAGAGGGAGAGAGAGTGATCCAGGTCTGTGACTGTGAGATAGAGTCTAGAGAGTGATGCAAATCTGAGATAGATGCAAATCTGTGAGGGAAGGGTTATATTAAATATATATATAAATGGATAGAGGGAGCATAAAGGTAGTTTTATTTCGGGGAGGAAACGGGGCGGGCCTCGGGGACAGGGCGGGTCGAGTCCGGAGCCGGGAAAGCTATCCCCGTCCCCGGCTCGAAACTAATCGAGAATGTATTTTTTAATACCATTCCCGGCCCGTAGGGAATATTTTTCGAGAAAAAACCATTGTAATCGGGGACGGGAGGTCGAGTCTCCGTCGGGCCAGGTTTAAATTACCATCCCTAATAGTCAACGTACACATGGTATTCTACCGAGTGTAAAGCCCTTCTATTAAAAAATGTTTGAAATTTTAGAAAAATTATTTAAAATTTTGATACAAACTCTTTAAATAATTTTTTAAAAAATATTTCAAAACATTGCTTGTATATAGATTTGGGACCCACATCCCCAATAATTCACAGCCGAGCACTGCAACACAATTTATATTCTATCAGATCAGAATCTTCTTTGTACCTTCAAGCACTGTATTGCAGGAGTATGAGAAAATTGCACAAAAGCCCCTCAGATTTGATTGCTTTGAGTTCAAGGATCATCATGCTAACAAAACTCTTTAGCTACACTTTTATGAACCGTATTCAGATAAAGACAAGTTCAAATAATTAATACCAAAGATCTTTCTATGGAAGGGAGGAGTTGATTATTAAACCTTTGAACCTTTTGCATAGTTGGCACTTTTGGGGGTTGGATTGTAAATCATACTTTATTAAATTTTCAACTTTGCAACAGTGTTGATACTTTGGGGAGGTCCATAGGCTTTACTTCGGCATCAATTTTTTCTTTAAAACTTAGCTTAACAAGTAAATTTCGAATACTTAGAATCCTTGTCAAACCAAGAGTATCAGTTAAGCACCTAGTATGACAATAGGAGTCAAATCCAAGATATCCGAGTGAATCCACTTTTAATCCAAAAAAAAACCAAGAAAAAACCTGCACAATGAGATTAGAGATTGAGAATGAGTATGCCCATAAATTCATAGACACGAGAGGGAAATCATTTAATAGACAATAAATTCAAATGCCATGGTGGTTCACAGTGAGATCACCATGTCAATTTAGGGAAGGAAAAATGGAGAAACATGACTAAAATGTAGTTGATGTTAGCCAACATTTCCTTGGTAGGGATACGGGAAAGAACCCTACTTTATTTGCATAACAAAAAAAAAACAAAAAACAATGGTAAAATTCACTTTGCAAAGTTACAGAAGAAAGAATCCTACAAGTTAAGGGAATCTATTTCCTTCGCAAATCAAGATCCAAGCACAACCTTATGTTACGAAAAAAAGGAAATATAAACCACAAAAAACCTGTTCCATAAATTTACAAAAGATGATCAACTATTCAACCATATGAAATATAAACCAGCAAGCACACTGTTTTTTCAAGTGTGCATCTATGTAAAATTCTCAGCAATCTAAAGCTCCTTGCACCAGAGCTCTGAAGCATTCAGCAGCCATCAATTGTTAAAAAATAAAATTATTATTGTTATAACTGATTGCTATTTATTAAGTTTAAGAGAATCAAACATCATTCCAAAGATGTGTATGCAATAACCATAAGGAGTCAATAATCACCTAGCTGGCTATTTAAAAAAAGAAGAAGAAGAATTTTCTTATCAAAAGGGCAAGCTGGGGAAATTCCCCGAAACTCTAAGGTGAAATGATCCAGCTCCTCAAACATTCAACGCAACGTGTGCATGACCTGGAACAGAGTGAAAGTGAATGTAAACCACGAGATCAATTTGTTGAATCATTAGACAATAATTTTAATGGAAGACAGTTATACTTACTAATTGTGTTTCCCGTCATAGAACTGAGCATTTTTTGATGACTTGAAAGTTTTCAAAAATTCTGTAGCCTTCTGTACTTCTTGCTTCTGCCTTGACTTGTCCCAATTGTGTTCAGCAGCCAGTATTTGAATTATGCGGGGTAATGCCCGGCCTGCTGCATCAGTGTCAAGAAAAGCAAGCCGAGATCTCCTAGCGATGAAATCTATTGTAGATTCACAGTACTCATGCCGAGCACAATATGCCACCTCAGCTTCTAGAAAGGGGTATCCATGGGCAAGTCGCTTTCCCAAATGTTCATTCTAGAAATAAATAAATAAAGGGTTTACACAGTCAATTGGCAGGAACCACAAATTATATGCATCAGAGATACAATTCCATCACGGTACACCCCAAGTATCCAGAAACTGATCTAACTCTGCTAGCAGGATTGTCATGCATAACTATAAGTATTGCATAGGATTGTCATTACGGAATTATAAGAAGTATTCCAGCTCAATGAATTAAAGGGATTTATCTATAGATAGGATTTCATCAAAAACAGAGAAAAGAAAAAAATTCACCTGAACTTGATTTGGTATTCTTCCAATGCAAAACAAATAAATTGAGAATGAGCCAGTGTCAACATGATGTTTGCTACCCCATAAAGATAAATAATTAGAAACCCCATATTCTAATGGTAATAAACCATTAATTGAAATGTAAATGAATCCAGGTATAAACCCCAGGTGTCCACCACCACACTCATTAGCCAGTGATCTGAATTTAGAAACAATTCAATATGAAGTTTGTTATATCCACATCATGAGAAAATGGATGGGAACGTATCTAAGATGCTACATGTAGGTTCTGTATCAATCCACAAACAATTAATTTCTAGCCAAGCTTCTTGATGACTGAGAAAACAGATAGTAGAGAATCATATCACTAGTTCTGCTTAAATAATTCCAAGAAAATTAATGAACAACATATAAATCAACTCAAACCACTTCTTTCTTCTGCATGTGAGTATCTCCCATAAAAAAACTAGCACACGAGAAACTATGAGAAAAGTGTTTCTCATGTGCTAGTTTTTGAAAAGTGTAATTGAGTAGAATATCTTGATCTATTTATTGAAAAGTGTTTAAACAAAAAATAGTGAAGTACAACAAATATCAATTGCCAAAGTTATGTCAGACTGACAGATTAAACTTCTAGAAGAATATAAAATAAATTGCAGAAAAAATTACAGTAAACAACTAAGACTTCATAGGGAAAAAGAATGCTAGAAGTACAGGAAAAAGTATCAACCAAGGGTGTCAAACCTGAGCTATGGCAGCCACCCGTTCAGCCAAAGTACCATATGCATGGGACAAATGCTTTGCTGTGGCAGTGTCCATGACTCCTGGCACAACTTTACCACTGTACGACTTCTTCATGCGGACATATTGTTGGGCAAGCACCGTGAAAGATGCAGGGTCATATCCATCTCCACCAATAAGATGTAGGTTGTATGTCAAACATTTGTTGGTAGGACTCAACTTACCAGACTTGATAGCTGTATCAACTGCATCTTCTGCCATGCTTACTCATGTAAAGAAAACAGAAGTTTCGTTAAAATAGACTGAGGAAAAAGTTGCTTCACACTTCTAATGTTGATTTCACTATAAATTAAGGTAACATAACATGCTGTTATATCCGCAACAAATAAGCCATAAAGAAGGGGCATAGAACTAGAAGTGCTAGCACAATAAGTATTTAACTAAATTCAGGTACATGATTGTACAAAAGCATAAAAAAGAAGATCCCAGTGCATACAAGTTTCAGTTTCCAAAAACTGATACAAATTCTACAACCTATAGGGAAACCCAGATCAGCCAATATAAAATGTACCTTCTATATGTAGTCCACTTTCCACCAGTAATCGTGACTAAACCAGGGTAATCTTCGCATACAACATGATCCCTGGAAATGCTCTCAGTGTTCTTTGCTCTAGGATCTGTTGCCAATGGGCGAATACCACTCCAAGCAGAAAGAACATCTACACGCCGTACCTAAATTGTCCTGCTATAGTTTTAGTATCCACTAAAAACTGAATAATTAAACAAAATAGATGACACCTAGGTTGAGTCACATCAACATAAATGGACCAGAAGAATACTAAAGTCTCCCTAAGAAAACAAAATTGAAGCAAGAAACTAATGAATTTGTGATGATGTCTTGACATGTATATGAAAAATATTTAAAACATCAACCATTATTGCTTTTGCTTCTTAACAGCATGATTGTATTGGCAAATATCCACCAATACAAAAAAAACTAATTGGTCCACAGACCTGGAAGGCAACCAGACCAAATAAGCAAGTTAATTCATAAATTTGAGATCCCAACTTCTTGAGGTTAGCCTAGACTTGAGAAGGTTTCTAGTATGGGAAGGAGCTACTAAAATTGGAAAAACCACAGAATATTCTTCTCATCTTCTGTGACAAACTATAAATCAATGAGTATTTGGATCACTTGGATAGCATTACAAAACTATTTACACCTACAAGTGTCAGCAAGAACACATGCAAAGATGCAGAGAGTCGGACAATGCTCAGAAGGCTACACAGGCCAACACATACTTGCATACTTCTTACATCCTTAGCTATGCTTCAATATTTTCTTTTGGTTAATGTAGGTGCAAAATATTTAGGTTACATTATCTCAAATGCATACCAATTACATACAAATTGAACGGATTGAAGGAGGACATGTCTTAAGCTAAATCTGCACAGAAATGGCTGGCATTTGTTTAATATGTGAGTGCAACATGTTTCCAAAGACTAGGAAGCCTTAGCCATATAAAATGGTGAGGGAGATGCTTACTGAATCTATCAACTTTCATCACTCGGAGATATTTAAGTATTGAAAGGGTTCAAACTGCAAAAAAGCTACTATAAGATCCTCTACATAGTAACATTTCAGCATCAACAGTGGATATTGAGGTTTCAATGGGCATTTCATTTGATAAAAAATAAAAATTGAGATGCATATCTTAAGCATTCCAGTCAATAAGCTACATTATGCTATGGGATCAAAAGACATCTGCCATGGAGTTTAAAAACCAAACCAAACCAAGCCTTAAGTCCCATGGAGTTTGCATTAAAAATAAGGTGGATATTGAGGTTTCAATGGGCATTTCATTTGATAAAAAATAAAAATTGAGATGCATATCTTAAGCATTCCAGTCAATAAGCTACATTATGCTATGGGATCAAAAGACATCTGCCATGGAGTTTAAAAACCAAACCAAACATACATCAGTTTTTTTACAAGTTTGCATTAAAAATAAGAGACAGGTAGCAACATTTAAAGCTGGGCCTACAGTCCAAATGGTAAGGACTGCACAGCATAATCTTGACGCAAAAATTTGAGGCTCCCATCAAAGAAAATGATATCAGACAGATAGCAAAAGTTGAACTTCAACCAACAAAAAGAAAGTAACTTTGTAGTCTTCAGTCCAACTCCATTTAGAATACGATAACACAGAGACAACCAGATAATAGGGTATATCTTCAGGCTTTATTATTCATAATTCCACAAAGATTTACCGAGATGACCAGAATTTTTTTTGTTTTTTTATTTTTTATTATTATGAACAAACTTCACCAAGAATCCCACAAAAAATAACTTTACAACAACAAATATTTGGAAAATTAGCATTCCATGCAGATTATAGATGAGCGTGCACACACAAAACGAAAAAAAATGCACAAACCTTAACATTAAGGTAATCACAGATGGCATCCAGTATAAATTCAATCTCATCCTCATTTGGTTCTGGAAGCATTGTAATGGTGGTGCTGGAATCCGTAGTGCCAGCGACCGTTCTTCCCAACCACGGCAGCATGAAGACAACACGTCCATCTTTTGTTTTGGGAACGATTAAACCCATTCCCTCGGGAGAATAGTAATCAGGTAGCACAATATGTACACCACTGCTTGGACAGATCATAGGTTTTGCATCATTGTCAGCCATTTTCCTCACAGAATCACAGAATGGCCCAGCCGCATTCACAACAACTTTTGCATATGTATCAAACTCTTTACCTGCACAATTTACCGAGCAATAAGGATCATATAAAATTGAATTAATCATGTTGATTACCCTATTTAAACCAAAATTCTAAGCATTGAAACCATGAACACAAAAGCAAGAACAAACCAATGAGGGAGAGAACCATTAAATAAACAAGCAACAATCATTTGTGTGTAGAAGGGGATATTTTTTTTCTTTTAATTTTCTCCAAATAAGTTAAAGCTCAAACACTCTTGCCACTTCCAAAACAATGTTGAATAACAATATGCAAAAGAGCATAATCACCACGTGTGAAGAACACCTCACGCACATATAGAAGCTGTTAATGATTTTCTTTAATTAATCCAGATATGTAGTTGGTACCCCTAAGTCTTGACATACATACTAAAATAGGATAAACAAAAAAATTAATAATTAAACTTGCATGTTGCTACATCCATAGGGCAGGGTCAAATGTGATTGAGTGAAACATACTTGGAAATCATGAAGCAGAATGGTGACAAAATATCATAATGGCGCAAATCTCGAGGCTTGAAACATTATTGTATTTCACAGTGGTAAAAAGAATGAGACAAAGTTTAGAAGTTCATATATTCATGTTGACAATAAGATGCCAAAACATAGTGCTTATCATACCTGTCAGATTGTCTCGAATATGAGCACCGATTATCCGGTCGCTACCTTCATCTTTTAGAAAGGATATGACTTCAGCATGGTTAAGCACAGCTGCACCTGCTAATGCAGCAGTGCATGCTAACCCAACATTAACTCTCGAGTCATTCATTTGTCCATCATAATAAACCACTGTGCCCTTCAAGGTTCTATCTTTTCCCTTCCTTGCAAGAGTGGGGAACAGTTCAACAGACTCTTGCGCAGAATAATATCTGGACAGGTGCAGGAGGCGTGGTCCTGCGACCAGATCATACAGTTTCAAGCCCATCCAGAAGTACACTGCCTCAAACCAGTTAAAACACGGTGTCATGCATGGCAAAGCATTGCATAAGTGTGGAGCATTCTCAATAACCTGTTTACGCTCCTCGAGAGCATGGAATACCAGCTTCAATTGTCCATAGTCTAAATTAAAAACTGCTTTCTCCAAGTACCGAACTCCTAAAAATGTTGTTTAAATGAGTATTAACAATAAATGATGAATTTGACAATATTAAAGAATGTTAACAAACAACAACAAAATAAATACAAGAACGATATGAATAAAAACTTCCTGAGTAATAAAGAATTATTAGTAGAAGATGAACAACTTTCACTACATTCATAATTTATTTTGTTATAGATAAAAGCAATATATTAGAGTGCAAAAGAGAAAGAAATCAATGTTAGTTTTGACACTTCAAAATAAAGCAGTTCCAAGAACAACTAAAAAAAAAATAATGACTAGATAATCCACATATACAAAGCGTAATGCCCGATGCTAGATACTATGACACCATTACGATGTTTGTTTCAATGCTTTAAAAACCGGACCGGTGAACGAACCGGAAAAAAGATCGGGTGGACGGGTCACCGGTTCAACCGTCGGGTTAAACCGGAATTGAACCGTGACGTAATAAATATATTAAAATTATATTTAAATAAAAATGAGCAAATAAGTTGTATTAGGCTAGTTAACACTTTCTCGTTTCCTCGATTCCTATACCAATAATGAAGAAGGCATACTTTGTTCCAAATTCATAGAATTTATTTAATTTTCTCAGCAATTTCAGGGAAACCAAACAAAGGAAAAAGAAAGTAAGAAATTGAGAGTGCCGGTTCTGAGGAGGCGATCGAGGAATCGAACACCAACAGCATCGTAGACCCTGCGAATGGAAGCGTAATCGTCCTTGTTACAGAATTTCGTAACAAGAAGAAGACCAGCAAGGCGTTGCTCGTCCCTCTCTCCCTTCAACAGCTTCAAGCAATCTTCGAGACACGGAGACTGTCTCTGCTGTTCCTGTTGCTCCATCAACACCACCACAACAAACAACAACGCTTATATATATAAAGTGAGAAAGAAAGAAAGAAAGAAAGAAAGAAATAAAGAAAAAAAAAAAACTGAAAAAAAAAGGAGCCAGACCGGTTCGATCAACCCGTGACCGGGTCAACCCGTGACCGGGTCAACCGGTTCACCGGTTTAACCGGTGGGTTCACCGGTTCTCAATAAATAGTCCGGTTTTTGCAATTGGCCGGTTTAAGAGGGCTAACCGGACCGGAACCCCATTCGGTCAACCGGTTGAACCGGCCCGGCCGGTCCGGTCCGGGTTTCAAAACCTTGGTTTGTTTTTCCCCTTTGTAACTAAATCATGAAGAGCCCATAAGCTGGCCTGTTATAGAAGTTAGGCTCCAACTCATGATCTCAGCCTTCTTGAGACATAGTCCACGACCACATTCATGACGTAGGTGGTTGGTGGAATATTCACATGAAGATTGTCAATTTAGTCATTAGAATTTGATTAAAAGTCATTCAAAATATATTGCTTTATTTTCTTACTTTTAAGGCCTAGTTTGGGAAGACTAAATAAGTGCACTTTTTGACTTTTTATGAAATATGTGTTGAGTTTGGGTTGGATTTGAAGTGAAGTGCTAGAGAGGTGATGTGACTTAAATAAGATGATGTGACTTAAATAGGATAGTGACTTTTTGACTTTTTGTCTTTTTTCAATCATGCCAAACTTTGCCTAAATGTCCTTAGGTTTTAAGGGACAAAAGCTTGAGGCTTGAGCTATTAATAGTGTTTGAAAACATTTTTAGATGTTTTACGATTTTAGGATCAAAATCTTAGGCCTAAATCCATATTAGGTAGGGTAGTTTTATATGTTTATTACTTGTCATTAGGGTTTTTGTATTCCCTCAAAATGGCTTCTTAGGAGAAAAACGAAAAAGGTCTTGACAAATTAATAAACGCTTTAATGAGAGCCTTGTGCATTGAGTCCCCCATTTTTTAGATTCCCACAAACTTCATCCAACTTTCTTGGTTTTGTATTTTCCAACCAAGGCAAAACTAATCTAGCCCTTATTCTACATGTTCTAAACAATCTTTTATGGCTCTCCATAAAATCTCTGAGTCCTAGCAATTTTTTATAACATAACTACTATTCTAGTTCTAAATAAATTTATCCAAATGCAACATTGCCTATGTAGCACTTTACCACGATATCTAATAATCTATTTTACATCAAACAATAAATAAATTATAGCACTAGAATGAATTTACTCAAAACCATAACAACCGATTTCAAGTGCATCATGTACAGAACTTATATGATGATGTTATAGCACAACAAATGCCTATACTTAGGCCAAAATGCTATGTCATTCCCACAATATTTAACAAATGCATCAATACTAAATTCTTTTCAAGTAATCCCAACCCAACAAAGTCCAAAAGAGAGTACACAAATGATGTTAATTGATTTTCGAGTATTGGGAAGAGGGCCAAAGTGCTTTGGTTTTGTGCTATCTTTGCGATTTTTTGGGTCATCTGGTTGGAGAGAAACGGGCGCGTCTTCGAGTAAGTATCTTGGGGTGTTGATTTTTAGCTTCGTTTTGAGTGTCGGGAAATCCTTTGTTCAAAGGAATTCCTCTCTTTTTGATTGTAGCAAATTGGGTGCCAGTTTGTGATATGTGGTGCTTTCTTTGTTTTGGATTTTGTCTCTTTTTGTTGTTTTGTCATTTTTCACTTATAATCTTTTATAGCTGATGCCTTATCCTCCCTTCTTTTGGCTTTGTGCCTTGATAAAGTCTTTGTTTCTTCCAAGTCAGAGCAAAAACTTTGAAAAAGTGCAAAACATATCAAATTAATCAACTAAAGAAACTCAACTTCAAATTTTTTAAATGCCAAAAAAATCTGGTATCAAATAGCAATGACCTAACAATAATTACTTTTGATAGCAAACAATGAGCTTCTTCAAAACTCAAAGCCCTAGCCAAACTTTCTACATCAACATATGTATGTATCAATACATTATACATATATACTAGCATAATGAGTGGTACTCTAATCTCTAGATACTGTGAAAACCGAGCTCAAAGGTTCAACACTCAGGAATTCAAAGATTACATGCAATCGAAACACATACCTCCATGAATTAGCTTTGTCGATCGAGACGAAGTACCAGACGAGAAGTCCTCTCTCTCCACGAGGCCGACACGGAGGCCTCTGGTGGCGGCGTCGAGAGCAGCGCCGCATCCGGTGGCGCCGCCGCCGACGACGAGAATGTCGAGGGGATTGGCGGGGCTGGAGCCGATCAGAGCAGACTCCTGTACGGTCCTCGGAGGAAGGACGGCGTAGGGGTCGGCGATCTTCCTCTGGACTGCCTCCAGAGCAGGTCCGCCGCGGTCGGCGGCGGAGACGGAGGGGTCTCGGAGGCAAGCGTAAATGCCGCCGGATGCGACGGCGACTGCGGCGGCGGCGCGGAAGCGGTGGAGGCGAATGAAGGTGGCCATGGCGATGGATGTTTCGGAGATATGGATCCAAGAATTCTGTAGTCTCGACTTCCGAAAATAATTATAAAAAAAAATATAAAATATAAAAAGTTTGCGTTGGGAGTAGGAAACTCGTGGCGATAATTTATTATCTATGGGGTGGTATAAAATATACTAATTAATGTATTAATTAGTATATTAATATTAGTTATAATATTATTATTGACTCTATTCATTAATCACATTATAAATTTTAAAAATTTCTTAAATTATATCATATCATCAATTAATACATATAACATTATTCTTTTATTGGTACTGACCTATTTTTGTCACCTTGATTAAATGTTAATTTATTTTTAACCAATTTTTTTTTTATCACATAAATGATTGAAGTTAATTAAATAAAATAAATTTATAATTTATATTATGATACGTGTCATTTATATACGAATTTTTTATTAAAAAATATTCAAATTATAATTAATTAGATTAAATTAATATAAAATTATAAATTTAAATTTAAAATTAAATAAAATTAAAATTATAAATATTAAAATACAATTTGACTTTGAATTTACCATTATGGCAATGCATTGGAGTTAATTGGACATTCTTACCCTTATATTGTATTGTATCTTGTGATCATCAATTTGGTCACAAGAGTCGCAACAGTTTGAAAGAAAGAGGTTGGAAAATATGAACTGTGATTGAACAATAAATATGTTGAATTGAATTGTCAAATTGTATTTGACAGTAATGTTTGAACAATTATTTTGAAAGAATAGTTAAAAGTTATCTTTTAATTTTTAATTTATTTTGATTTTATCATTTTTTACATTTTTTATAAAAAAAAATTTTAAAAAATAAAAAAAATTAACTTTTAACCATTTTTTCAAAATGAATATAAGACCAATTACATGGATTATTTCTCTTTGTAAAATCATTTATCTTTTTCTTTTATAAGACCAATCCTTTATCTTTTTCTTCCCCTGTTCGGTGGATTTGGATTTGGTGTTGGGGGGCGGGCGTTGCATTGAGAGAGAAAAGGGAAGAAAATGACAGAATGATAATGATGTGTTCAAAAAACACGATGAACTGAAGCCCATTTCTAGAGAAGAAATGGAACTCATTCGCAATGATGAGGAAGAAGATGCATTGGACATAGAGGAAAATTTGGAAACTAAAGAAGAAAAAGAATTTTCCCAAAAAAAAAAAAAAAGGAAAAAGAAAAAGAAAAAGAAAAGGAAAAAAAAAAAAAAAAAAAAAAAAGAAAGAAAGATTATAATCAAGTTAATTGAAATTATAGATACCAAATTAACATAATGAATAAAGTATAGAAACTTCTTACACAAATTGTCCAAATTAATAAATCAGAAACGTAAGAAACTCACAATTTATATCTCCAAAGTCACTCACAATGGAAGTTGAGTTTGTAACTAATTAAAAGTTAATACATAACCCGTCTCTTAAGGAAAATAACATAGAAATTCACTTTCTAGACTCATTTTTTAACTTAATGATGTGTAAATAATATGATTGGTTGATGATTAGAAAATTTATGAGAGAGAGTATTACTTTTAATATTCTAATTCATTGTCACAAAATTGAAATTGAAAATTAAATCTAATTTTTAATCTTATGTAGCAATACTCTTTTCTTAATAAACATGGATACATGCAAAAAAATAGAATTGTAGATAAGAGGAAGATGACCATGGGCCACAAGGAAATCCAAGCCCAATTTTGAGCCCAAAAAGATCAATTTGGCCCCGTTCATGGTGGAAGGCTGGAACCCCAGTGTGCAAATTTAAGCCCATATGAAGATCTGAAGCATTCCATCTTCTTCTTCCATCTTCAAATAGTAATTTTGTTTTGCAGGGATGGCATATGACTTGATTGTTGACCGACCAAAAATCATCAATTCCTTAGACTGAAACATTCATTGAAAACTTGGAATGACTTGTAAATGATATATATATTTTTTAAACAAATTTTGTTTTAAGTTTCGACCAATTCTATGCCAACACTCCCAAGCATCATTTCTTGTTTTTTTTATCCTTATAATTGTTCTTGTTTTGGTATTGTACAAAAGCAAATAGTCGCCGTTTTGTTTTGTTTCGTCTCGTCTTTTTATCATTTATTTTTCAATTTTCTCTGGTTCAAACTCGTTAACATTCTATACGTACTTTTACAGAAGATCAATGAATATGAACTCGGAACCAAGCAGGCTTGACTTGATGATGTTATGAATTATGGTTATTGTCGAGATAGGGTCTTGTGTCAGCCATATGCTGCATTTTGTAAAACACAATTGTCCAGAAAATTTTGTTCTTGTGCTGAGTTCTTAATCACTAATCAGAAATAAGTGAAATTGGAGCCTGATTTTTATGCATTGTTCAAAAAACCTTTTGTCTAGTGTTCGAAACATATTCATTTCCTTTTTGAGGCTACAAAATAAGCAATCAGAAATTAAATATCAGGCTGAAACTGCATACGAATTTTATTTTTTAAAAAAATTTGTTGGAAGATACAAGAACAACAGTATAAAACCAATCATTTAGCACAACCGGCAAGTTTTAGACAGTACAACCCTAGAAATGATTCCCCTCTACTGATTTGATGAATGATCCATGTTCAAAACATAACAACACTCCTCGCGATGTCAAGGTTTACTATCTACTCTGTAAAGAAATCAATTTATGTCATTGGTAATTCTCATCAACTGTCGCATAATGTGCGGGAATCAACCAGTCTGATAAGGTAAAATTATGCAGATATTGTGAAAGTTTATCACAAATGTACTGATCAAAACAAAGACAGTTTGTAGATGCAAAGAAATAAATGCTAGTTACTCTTCCACTAATGACTAATGTAGTTCAATTGAAAGTATAATAACATCCTCTTAGAACAAATCAAAAACTTCAAGCACAGGAAAGTACATGTCATACATTTTGTTCATTTATATCATCGACACAACATTACAAACTTTGAACTCAAAAACTAATGAAAATGTAAGAAGTAGAGCAGTACCTGGCAGCAGAAGCCCAAGTCTGCAAGTCCACCCTTGGAAGCTCAAACAGATTGGTGGCTTTTCCCGCTTTCAATGAAGGACGTTCTCGCTTCCTTGTAACTTGCATAACATTTCTAACATACAAACTTACCACAACACCTGCTTCCATCGTACATCCTTCTGTACAGAAAACCCGCAAAGCGAGACACTGAAAACACTGAAATTATCAACTGTAGATTCACGTACTTCACACAGATCCCTGATCTTCTGGTTCAACATTCTAATGTCTACTGTAAATTACATAGTTTCAATCATAAAAACATTTCACCTGAAACTTTATGGTTGGACTGGCACGTCAACGTGTTGGAGTTGTTCTAAAACACTCCCCGCTTTTCTCTTGGCCCTATCGGTGCCATTCTCTGAAAGTTCTTTCAATGCCTCTTCTGCCCCGAGCTCCCTTGCTATACTCAAATAATGCGCATCACCGGTGCATAATGACCATAGAACAGCCGCAGCATTTTCCCGGTTGCGTGGCGAACCGGTTCTTATCACCTCCAACAAAACTGGGATCGGATCAGACTGACCGATCGCGCTTTTCCCTTCTGGATGGCTTGCAAGTATGGCCAGTATTGCTAGTGACTCGTCCACCATTCCACCCCCAGCATCCTTCAGGAATCTCATCAGCGGTACCACAATCCCAGCCCTAACAGCCCTAACCTTGTTTCCTTGATAGATTGAAAGGTTAAAAATTGCCGTGGCAGCATCTTTCTTTCCTCTTGGAGTCCCCTGAGAGAGCAAATCAATAAGAGCCGGGATAGCCCCAGCTGCTCCAATTGCTACCTTGTTCTCATCAACAACAGATAAACTAAAAAGGGTTGCGGCCGCATTTTCTCTTGCTTCAATACATCCATTTTTTAGGACATCTACTATATCAGGTATAGCTCCGGCATTCACAATAGTTCCCTTGTTTGCCTCGTTTATCGAAAGGTTGAGAAGTGCCGTAACGGCATGCTCTTGGGTCCGAGAATCCGTAGACGATAAAAGGTCTACAAGTAGCGGAATAGCTCCCGCCTCAGCAATACAGACTCTGTTATCTGCGTTTCGTTTTGCCAGCAACCGCAGCTCACCTGCTGCTGCTCTTTGCTGTTCTTGATTCCCGATTGCAAGTTTATGTATCAAGGCATTAATAGCGACTCGATCACAGTCTGACCACTGCCTCCCGTTTTCTTGCTTCCACAATTCCCTTGCTTTTTTGGCAACTCAACACCATTGCTCTCACACCACAAAGCAATTAAACTCTTCAAAACATAGTTGGGTGTTAGAGCTGTGTGCAACAGAGTGTGCTGAGTCTTGGGGCAGGTCTTGTGCCCTGCATCCAGCCATTTTTGAATGCATGATCTTTCGTACGTCTACAAAAGGAAGAAAAGTATAAAATCTTTGTTAACATCGTTGTCAATCGTGAATTGAATCGTGAATTGTTTTGCTAAAATAATAAATCATGAATCGTAAGATTCGCTTATTTAGTGTAATATACAATTTTATGTATGTAAATACATATAAAAACACATACATAGTTTTTTAAATGAAATTAATATCAATATATAACTAATTTCGTATATGTATATACATATAAAATCACATATATTAAAGAGTTTTTTTTTATTTTGCGAAAAAGTTGTTTCATGCATTATACAAACAGAACTGACTAGCAATAAATCAAAGTGAATTGCAATTGAATTGTATGATTCACTCAAATTAAGATTCAACAGCACAAATATAATCGTTTCGGTTGAAACTTGTGTCAAATTGTACGAATTGAATTAAGTTTCAATCAATCATGTTTGTTAAATAAATGGCTACCAGTACAGAGAGAAGTTTAAACCTGTCCAGTAGAGACAATCACAGGATCTTTCATCAGTTCAAGAGATATCGGACACCGGAAATCATCTGGGATAACAGGAGATCGGTGCTTAATCAAGCCCTTTTCAACCACAGACGTATCAGTGTCGGGATTTTCATTCGCTACAAAATTCTTCAGCTTCCGAAGCAGAAACGACACCACCTCTAAGCAATCCCCAGGAACTCCACCACACGAGATAACCATATCATGGATAGCAAGTGACTCTTTCTTCAGATCATTCATATTCCTGATATTCAACTTCTCTGAAAGCCGTTTTAAAATTGCAGGGTCAGGGTCCTTCTCCTTCTGTGCCGTGGCTAAATCCATCTCTAGTAGTGGATCAGGTGAGTCCAATCTTCCTCTAGCTCTTTTGAATTGAGCATGCACGAGTTCAATCTAATAGAAAAATTAAAACAAATCATACCCACAATCAGTAAAATAAACAAATAGCGTGGATAGATGTTGAATTATTTTCAATAAAAATCTTCAAACAGGTTGATCCTAAACTACCTGTTCTCTAACTTCCTCTGATATATCAAGTTTATCATAAGGAATCTGACTCAATGCTTCTTCAATTTGATCTGTCACTTGTAAGAAGTCAGCTGCAATTTTGTCCCTCTGCAGAGCCTGCGACATGGAAAATACAACTTACCTTAAAACTAAAATGTTAATTAGACAAGAGACTTGTAAACAAGACAATCACATAACTTAAGCACAAAGAATGATAATAGATAGATATCACAAGACTATCAATCTTGTTAAATGTTAAAGATTGGATTAAAAAAGGAAAGAGTCGATTGGAGATTTAAAAACTAACACTGCACAAAAGAACCTCCATAGATGATGTCCAAGAACTTAAACTTGCTGAAGAATAGTGAGACCTAAATGTAAGCTCAGAAATCTTAAATCCCTTAGCTTTGCAAAGACATGAAATGGAACTGCTTAGGGCGGCCATTGTTGTTTATTGAGAGTGACAACTGGTTTTGTGATAGCCCTCTATCAAAAAAATTTATCACTTAATTCCCACGTAACAAATATCATAACTTCTCCTACAAAGCCTGATAAAAGAAAAATGAATCAAATGCGTATCTCTAGGATCAAAATGACCCTTTGGTCGATGCACCTGTGATAGAAAATGCCGAAATTTCTTCAATGCTATTAATTCCCATAATGCTGAAACATCCTTAATTTAATTGAATTACCGTCAATGACTCCACACCTACTGCAATTCTGCCTCAGAAGTTACCACAGGATTGGATAACTAGCACATTCCAGTTTGCCTCTCTCACACACACACACACACACACACACACACACAGAGTTTGACTTAGAATTTGAACCAAAAACTTGCCTAGAAATTAGCAGAAAAATCAAGTAAAATCAAGCTAGAATTCTCTACTTTTCTGCCTTCATACAAAAAACCCATCTTTGTGTGAAGCAGGTAAATGAACAAATCCTAAAAGGTTTTATTGTTTCTGTTTCTAAGAAAACAAAACTAGAATCATGGGTATGGAATTTCTTTCTTGTCCTCAATTTTCTCAACAACCAAACAGACCACTTCCATCACAAACCACAATCTAAACAAAATCACAATCAAAACCCAAAATCAGATTAAACAACAACTAAAAGTACCTGAAAGACCTTGCTGCCTTCATTGATAGATCGGAGAATCTCTCTAGCAGAGTCCAAAGCGACCTTCAACGACTCGAGACCTCGAACCTCATCGAGTCCGAGCTCTTCTTCGCTGTCCTTCAATTCCTCAAACAAAGGGCTCAATAGCTTCACTCTCCGAACCAAGTTGTTGTACATCTTCTTAGAAGAGTTCTGGCACTCGGGCGACCCAGAGATTTCCTTTATGGCTACAGCGAGTTGACTCACCAACGTGTCCTTTGGATCGTCCTCCATCGGATGATTCGGACCCATATGGATCACAAGCTATAAATCACTAGAAAACCCCGAGAACTTAAGATTTGAAGGCAATTGAGAGAGACCCAGATGAGAGAATTCGTCGAATTTTGACAATTTTTATGTGGGTCGAATTGACTCGCCCAAAAATCCTTGGGTATAGAAAAAAAAAAAGTCTATAAGATGATCAAAGCCATGAAGTTAGGGTTTCTGAGGGTAATGGACGAGACCTAATTGAGGAAATTGGTTTAAATTCAAAGTGGATGGGATGAGAGAGAAAACGGCGGTGAAGAAGAGATATGCATGTACAGACGAAGTTCTTCTTGTGCACACAAGAAAGGTTAGAGAGAGAGAGAAGAGAGAATGATGGTTAAATTGTGGATTAATTATGGTTTATTTTTAAACTAATTGAATAAAATATTTTTATAAAAAATTAAGATGATTAAATATTAATAATTATATATTTATTTTTAAATTAATTGAATAAAATATTTTTATAAAAAATTAAGATGATTAAATATTAATAATTATATATTTAAATTATATTTATTTAAAAAAAATAAACATTATATATAAATATTTTAAATAAATATTTTAACCAATAAATTTAAATAAAAATAATTAAAAATCCTCCTAAGAGGAAGTTGGAAGAAAAGTATAAGATAATAATAATATGGACTTCACATTAGGCCTCGTTTGGGAAGTGGCTATTTTAGTAGGCTATTTTAGTTTTTAGCTATTTTAATAGGCTAAAATTTTTGTGTTTGGAAAGATGATTAGATTTTTTTGTGGTTGGATGTGATGTTTGTGAGAGAAAAAGTAAAATGATTATGGGTTTGATGTGATATTTTGTCTTATTAATTATTTTAGCCTATTTTATCTTTTTAGAATTTTTAGACTAAATTAGGCTATTTTTTTTCTTTCCAATAGGGGTATATATGTGTCAGATTTCTCATTTGTAAATGTAGATTTATTTTAGGTTATTAGAATTAAAAAATAATTATAGTATTTTACACTTTCTAATCTTTTTGTTTTTAGTGAAACAAGAAATTGAGGGGTGGTTTGGGATGATCTAAATAAATGTACTTTTTGAATTTTTATAAAATATGGGTTGAATTTGAAATAATGTGATAAGAGGTGATGTAACCTAGATAAGATAGCGACTTTTTAACTTTTTAAAATTATGTCAAATAAGGCTTGATGCCTCGTTTGGGAACAGGCTAATTTAGTAACTATTTAGCTAAAATATGAGTTAAAAAAAATTAGTATGTTTTGGATGACTTTTTGAATTTTTATGAAAAGATGTGCAAAAAGTAAAGAGAAAAGAGAATCTTTAACTTTTTAGTATGAATTATTGACTTTTTGACTAATTTAATAATTTTTTGGCTAAAAAATTCGGTTGCCAAACGAGGCCTGAGTGTATAAAAACGAAATGGAGAGTCTTGTTCAATTGATATTATTATTATTATTTTTAAAATCATTTTTATGAAATATGAATAAACTAATCAAAATTAATAAAATACAAGTAAAACTATTCCCACTATGAGTGAAAATTATGTAGTGCAATTAACTAGTAGAAGTTTTCTATTAATTTGTAATTAATTTATAACTATTTGCTTTATAAATGAAAAAATGTTTAAATTTGTTTTGAGCTTATGAAAATAAATAAGCTAATAATATAAGAACTTTTATCAAGCATCCTTTCTTTTTAAAGTATAATAACATTTAAGCACAAAAATTTAAATTTTAAACTAAATAAATTGTAAACAAACTTTACCAAACTGGTGTACTAAAGAAAATGTTAATTTTTTCATTATACTTGTTTATATTCAACGCTATTTTATATTTATTTACTGAACAACAATTCATGTAACAAATAGAAAATTAGGAACTTTTGATAAAACTATTGTTATGATTAATTACATTAACTGGGTTTCTCTCCAATCTGCTATTTTGTCGTGTTTGTGCGCTCTATCATGGTTTTAATCTGTCAAATTTTAAAGTTTGTGTGTATAAATTATTTATAAAAATTAAATTAATTTAATAATTATAGTAACAAGCTTTCAACGCGTTTATCTTTAAAAACATAGATGATTTATTTTTAAAGTCCTACTTATTTATTTTTTAATACTTTCTTGATATATGTTTGCAAATAAGTTTTTTCAATAGCTTGTGATGCCTTTTTTGCTTATAGTAATTAAGAATGATTTTATGATAAATTAACTGAACTATAGTATCATTAAGCCTATGTTTGGGAAATTGGGTTTGAAGATTTTTTTGGTTAAAATAGTCATAAAAAATAAAATAGACTTTTTAATTTAATAAGATAAAATATCACATCTAACTCATAATCATTACATTCTTTCTCTCACAAAAAAATCAAAAATCTTTTTCAAATCAAAATTTTTAATTCTAAATTAAATAATTAAAAAAATTAACCCACTTTTCAAACGAAGCGTAAAGCACATCAAGAGAAATGTGGCTTGTCAATGAGTTGAAAAAGGGAAATAGAAAAAGTAAAACATAATTAGGAGCATGGTGTTTTGGACTAATCAGTGAATTAGATGTGTGGACTGTGGAGGGAAGACTTGTTCATCATGGAGCTGGCCTAACCACACGCGAAAAAATCACAATTTATGCCTCTTTTGGAAAGTGAGTTATAATTCACTTGTCGGATTATAACCCACTTCCTCTCTTATAAAAAAAATTGCTTATAAGTAATTTTTAACCAAAAAATTAATTATAATTATCTTTTCAAAATAATCCTTAATAAGTTTTCATTTGAAAGGTGAGTTAATTTTTATTTATTTATTTATTATTTTAATTTAGAGTTAAAAAGTATCGTTTGAATAGGTTTTTTTGACTTTTCTATATCTGTGAGAAAAAAATAAGGTGACTATAATTTAAATATGATATTTTATTTTATTAGTCTTTTAATATACATATATATTTTTGACTATTTTAACCTAAACTTTTTATGTCAAACCAAAGCTAAGTAATTTTCTTTTATTTTTATTTATTTATTTTTTATTTTTTTTTGTGTGGAGTGTGCTTGGCGAGAGATTTTTATTTTATTTTATTTATTTATTTTTATATCGTATTGGTACTCTAATTGAATGTGAATAACCAATTGCGCTAGTATGATGGAGAAAGCCTATGCCTCATAATGACGTCAGAGATTCAAATCTTTTTTGGCATATGATCTTATTACTTCTCATATGTTTATTTAGAATTTTTTTCTTTCATTTATTATTTTTTTTACTGGAAAAATTTACTCATAAATTTTATAGGGGAGAATTTGATCCATTTAATTCTATGAATTTTTTTTATGAACCAATTAATTATTTTTATTTTGAAAAGTTATATTATTTGATTGAATAATGCTAGAGCTTTTAAATATTTTATTAATATTTTTATCAAATGTCTCACATGGGTGCATGAAAAGTTATATTATTTGATTGAATAATTCTAGAGATTTTAAATATTTTACTAACATTTTTGACCAAATATCTTACATGGGTGCGGTCTCACACCCACGTGAGACATTTGGTAGAAATAATGATAAAATATTTAGAATTTCTAGCATTTTTCTATTTGATTTGGTGTCATTAGAGTTTAAGTGAATAGTTTTTTTGTGATTCATTTTTTAAATTTTCTGATTCATTTTTTGGATAGGAATAGAAATGTGAGATTGTGGAAGATTCTTTTAAGTGTGAAAATCTACAGTTTTTTTGTTAGTGTAATTTTCTGGTGTTACATTAGAGTGGTTACATTAGAGTGCTATGTTTAGAAAAAGTATACTAATTTTTTTTTTTGCGTATTACATTGATTGGAATGTTACGTTTAAAAAAATATATACAAAAAGTTTTTTTTAAAGTGTTACGTTGTTGCGCTTGAAAAAAATATATTAAGAAATTTTTGTGTGCTACATTGATTGGAGTGTTACGTGCACTAAGGAGTTTTTTTTTTTTGAAATGTTACGTTATTATGTTTGAGAAAAGTACACTAATAAGTTTTTTAGTGTGTTACATTAGAGTGTTATGTTTGAAAAAAAGTACACTGGAGTTTTTTAGTTTTACATTCATTAGAGTGTTATGTTTTTTAAAAGTACACTAAGTAGTTTTTAGTATGCTATATTAGAGTGTTACGTTTTTAAAAAATACACTGAGGAATTTTTAGTGTGTTACATTGGAGTGTTATATTTTTGAAGTTTACATTGGAGTGTTATGTTTAGAAAAAAATACACTACAGAGTTTTTTTAAAGTATTATGTTTAGTAATTTCTACATTATAAGAAAATCTTCATTTATTTCTCAATACAGAACACAAGCGCATTTATATTTGATTCTTTATGTAATGCATACCAGAATGGGACCTTTAGATCCATAAGAGAAAAAAAAAAAAAGAAAGGATCAAATAATTCATAAGATCACAATTTCAAATTTTTTCATGCTTTACTCCTTTTTTTTTTTTTTATGGTATTAATTATGTGTTGTAATTTATTATGATTATTAGTCGCTGTGTGGCTAAAAATCTGACCACACTGCCCGTTTAGTGATCAGCAGCAAAGCACCGGCAGAATAGATGGCTTTAGCAACCTGTAACAGAAAGGAAAAGTTCCGGCGGTGGTTCTTCCACCCGGGGGCACTCCGACGATCAAGTCAGTATGTTTCTCGAGGATAATCAAGTACTAAACTGAATACTCAAAACATAAATTACATATCTTAGACCCACGGGGGTGCCTCTCTTTTATAATATACTTAATCCAAGTCCTACTTCTACTAGAAGTATGACTTCTATGAACTCCAATCTTAGTGCTTACTCTGGACTCTTTAGGAGATAGAGATAAACTCCCTAAGAGCTTTATCCTTATCTTAATTAAGTCCCCTCTTTGCTTCAGGACTCTTGTCCCTTATCTTCGGATTCCGACATCTTCGGAGATGACCTCGGCTTCTCCGAGATTACCTCGGCTTAACTACCAGGGCACGTGGCACCTCGGCTGACACGTCGGCGTCACCATGCCACGTGTTGGTATTCAGAAAATATGTCCCCACAGTCGCTCTATTTTATTGTTATATCATATATTAGAATGTGACTAGTTTAAACATTTGATTTCTTAGCTTTTGTATTATTGTTAATGTTAAATGATACTTTATTTGTATCAACTCGAAAATTTAAGTTGTTCTTTAAATTTTATACTACTAGTATTATGGTTGTATATAATAATATATTATTAAATAAATAATAATAATAATAATAATAATAATAATAATAATAATAATTGGTGTGGTAGTAAAATAAATAATTAATTTTCTGTTGGTATATGATAGAGTATAATTTAATTAGGGATTAATTT